GATCAAAATTACCATCTAGTGTCACCGACATCGAAATTGTTGGAGTAGAGCTTCTTGTCTTCAATACTCGAGAAATTCTCGATCCTCCATGTGAATTTCCTCAGTCGTCGATTAATATCCATCGACCGACTATCCACTGCACTTGAAAAATTAAAAAAAAAAAGTTAATTCAAAGGCTTACTTTTCTTTCCATTAACAAATAAAATGGAAAGGCAAAAGAAAATGGAGCATTAACAGAGAAGGGATTAAAAGGTGAAGCTATGTTTATGAATACCTTCTTCCATTATCAGATGATATGTGCTAATAAAAGATACTATCGGTAGAACGTCGAGAGGAAGGTTCGGGGTTTAAAATCACACTTGCTCTTCCGTCTACTTCTGATATATTTATAGTCCCAATTTCCTAGCGTTCCAAATTTTATTAATTTTGAAAATCTAAGTCTTTTCCTTTCCCATGAAGTCTTCTCTGACTTAGAGATTTCTTGGTCTTTTCTTTCTTTTTCTTTTTTTTTTTAAAGCTTATTACTTAAAACCATTTAGCTTTTAAGCCATCTTTTCTTACTTTTTACTTTTAAGTCGTGTATTAAATTTAGGGTGGGTTTGGACCGAAACGTGCATCCAGCATAAGTTCAACTGTTACGAAAAATTGTGTCAATCATACTTTATAAATCCAAACAAGGTATAATGCACGTCAATTTTTCACTGGACATAAAATATTTAGTGACTCAACGCAATTGCATTTTTTTTTCCACTTCTCTCCTTTAAGCTAACAACTTCAATACTTTACATTTATTTTTTCTATTTTGATTTTATTTAAAATTTATAAAGTAATGTTGTTAACTTAATGTAAAATAAATTTTATTATATAATAAATTAATAAATAAGTTTTAATTATTTATTAACAAAATTATTATTTGATTTTAAAACAATTTAATATTTATCAATTATTTATTAATTTTATAAATATTAAATAATTTAAATTTTTTAATACATATAATTTTTAGTCAACGTCTTTAACGATCATTTTCTATTCTCTTTATAATTTATCTCATTACCATTGCAGTTTATACATCCAAACATATATCTTACCATTAAATTTATTTTATTATTATAATAATTAATCTCACATTTACTGTTGATTTTAATCTCACGAGAGTTAAACTCACTCTTCATCCAAATGAACACTTAGACATATGATAATTTAAAGCACATTACAATAATATGAAATTGATATAAAAAATAGAAATATATAAGTTAAAATGTTAATAAAAAAAAAAATATATACTTTGTATTAAATATTCATCTTAAAACCAATTAGCAATAAATGGAGAGATATAACTTAAATATAAAATTATATGAAATTAAATATTTGTTAGATATGAGATAATACTATTTTAATAAACTCTCATTATGTGTAGGCGAAAATAAAATAAGCCTACTGCGTGATAAATTTGAAAAAAGATAAAAAAATTATGAGTATGATATCATATTAAATATTTACTTAAAATCAATTGACAGTAAGTTGAGAGACTTAACTTAAATATAAAATTATAAAAAATTAAATATTTATTAGATGTTAGATAATATTACTTTAATATTTTGTATAATTCATATCAATATGAATTATGATATATAAATTTTATGTAAAATATTACATCAATATAAAAATTTTATTATTTTATATGATACAAATACATGAATTATTAATCTAATTAAACTATTTGAAATTGTGAAAAATAAAAACAAAAATAAAGAGAGAATGAAAGAACAAGGTACGAAATGGATTTTTTTCTTTTTTTTTCCCAATAAGATATTAAAGGGAAATAATAATTCCGGTAGCACCAAAAAAATAATAATCCTTTTTTTCTCCAAAATAAGTACCATAACAATGCTAAAAGAGAATAATGAGTAGTTTTTTATTCATTAAAGAAAATTTTCAATCCGACAAAAAAAAAAAGCCGACGTATATGTGTTTATATATATATATATTATGAAATTACAAGTACAATTTACAAATCATAATAAATATTACATCAATATATAAAAAATAACTAAATAATCAAACAAATAAACTAACAAATCAAAATACATCTAAATAAATTTAATATAAAGTTGAATCAAATGTACGTATAATTAGACTTGGACTTAAGACTTAAGAATTATAAAGCCTCTTACTTACTACTAAGAGGGGGTTCAATTTGCAAATTTTAACTTTCTTTCTCTGAATTTTATTTTACATAATTTGATTTCTTAATTTTGTTGAAAATCTTTTCTGTGCCTTTGGAATCTTATAATCTTAACAGTATAAAAAAAAAGTAGTAGAAATCAAAAACTTTATTTTTTCTTTAAGAGTGTTATTAAATGCACTTTCATTTTCTCTCTTCACACTTCAATTTTTTTTTTTCAAAATTTTTTTAAATAAAATTACTTAATTACCATTCTCATAACTTTATAAAGTTTTATAATTTTTTGAAAATAAAATTTTGGAAAGTCATTTAATTTATCAAAAATTGATTTTCAAAAAATTATAAATTTTGTCATAAACTTTTTTTGAAATTTAAATTTTTAAAAATTTATGTTTAAAAACTTGTATGAAAAATAAAAAATAATTAAATAATTTCATTTGCACAATATAAAAATATTGAAATGTAAAGAAAAAAATGGTATGATGCATCTAGCAGCACTCTTTTTTTAAATTAAAAAAAAAGTGAAAAATTTCTCCCAATTACCCTTACTAAATTATATTTCGGACCATATTATTTTTTTAATCTCTTAAAAATTAATGTGAAATTTTTTATTATCATAGTTTCATAAAATACAACATATCTATGTTAAAAGTCTAACTGTACTTCTATACATAAAAGTCTCTCGTTCACACTCCGATATATGTTTACCGATAATTTTTTAATCTTGATCTTTCACTTTACTCTATTTTATTGTTTCATATAATTTTGATTTTTTACGATTTAATCCTCTATATGCCGATGAAGTTACACAATACTGTAAGAACATAATTTTTTTTTTTTTTGTTGTTTTCTGAAAATTCTTTTTTGATTTGACCTGCCGGCAAGTTGAAAAAAGTGAAATCTCACAGTGTTTAATGACTTATGTTGGATAACAGGCATTTTTAGAGATTCAAGGTCGAATGATTGAGCTCACTGGCAAATTGAAACAGGTAAGTATGATTTTCCTTTAGATTAGTAGTATGGCTCTGTAGGCTCTTGCTTGGAATCTATGTTCTCTCATAGCCGAAGATTTTATCTCATGATTTTTTTTTTTTTAAACAAAGGAACCAATAGAAATAGATTGAAACAGAGATTTGATTTTTCTCGATCTCTCTGATTATATGTAGCTGTTGACCTTCTGTTGAGCTAACTTGAAACTGCAACTTTTGGAGGGACAAAAGTTGCTACGAGTTTGATTTAAGTAAGCATATTCTTTGCTTTATGAAGTGTGGAGAATGTCTTCTTGAACTTAAACCTAGGATGACCACAGTCACAGTTGAAGTATAGCTTCATATTAAAGAGGTTTTTTATTTTATTTATTTTTTGGCTGGGATAAAGGACAATATGTCCTGTTGAAGGCACATAAGATGTGGTAATAGTTATTGGGGTTGTGGGAAAAAAGTAGATTTTATAACTGAGTGATATTCGTGAAAAAGCATTTGCACCCTTCGAGTCAACCCATGGAGGGGTATACTGGATTAAGCAATCGCATGGTCGGGCAATTTGAATGATTCCTGTTGTTGTGTGACTTCAAGCAAACTTTATATTTCTGATAATTGATCCTATGTCATTTTTAAGGATGTCCAGGATGTAGAATGGCTGCTGCCCCCTCAAGCTGCAAAAATTTTTGCCTTACAGTTATCCTCATATGTGTGCCTAAATGTAGTTCTGAAATATTGTGTTGTGTGATTTTACATCTGAACAGTCTATGTTTCTTTTGCATTTAGAGTGTATCGGAGTTCTTTGAAATATAAATACACTTATTTCACATACAGTGAAATGGTAATCTGAAATTGAAATTTTTGTTCAACTTTGATGTCAAACTCGATGGATTATGCACTTTTGTGGGATATATGGCAAAGAGCAGACCTCCTGACATTTTGTCATATTCCTGCATCCAAGCAATTCTTGGTTGGGTGAATCTCACGGTTGAGTGCATCCTCAATCTTGCATCCGCGTGTGTATTGCTCGATGCTGTGCATTTAAAAAAAAGGCCCTTAAAATAAATTTTCTTTTGGTGTTTTGGTGCAAGAGTGCTGTTGTAAAATTGATGTCAGTTTTATTGTGATCTTTTACCCCACTATTCCCCTCTTTTCTATTATCTTTTCTTGTTTTATGAACCAAACATACCGTAAATATATATATATATATACATATATATACATATTATGATAACAATGATAAATATTAATAATTTAATTTTTATTTTGGTATAATAAAAGTAAAATTTGATAACTATTGATATAATTTTGATTTTGATAACTTTTGATAAAATTTTAGTAACATTTAATATAATTTTCATAACTTTCAATATTAGTTTGATAACTTATGATATAATTTTGGTAACAATTGATAAAATTTTGGTAATCTCTCGATGTAATTTTAGTTATTAACTTTTTGATAACTTATGATATAATTTTAATAACCCATGATATAATTTTGGTAATTTTTTTATAAAATTTTAATAAACTTTTGATATAATTTTAGTAACTTTTTGATAGTTTATTATATATTTTTGGTAATTATTTAGTTGATTTAAAATAAATTTAAATAAATTGATAAAATTATATATTTAAAGATAAATTTATTAATTTAAAAATTTATATGAGTATTTAAGTCAATTACTATTAATATTTTTAGAATTCATGCTTTTATATATAAATGATAAATGATATATATTATATTTAGCGGGGATATAAAAAATTTTCATCAAATTCTAAAATTAGAGATATTTAGCAAGAGATAACTGAATCTGATGATACAAATCTTAGCAAGACATAATTTCATTCATGATATTTCCTGAAGAGGAGGTCAAGATGTTCTCTCTAAAAGTGATATTCATAACCATTTTCATTGTTTCTTTTTTTTTTTTTAATGTTACAAATGACAAGGGTGAACAGTACAGGGTCAAAAGCACAATTGTTCAAACCTGAAATTCTATCAGCTAATTATACTCGTACAGTACAATTCTTTTCTCAAATGTTACTAGGAAAGTGCATACAAATTTGTGACAAGCTTCTGCCAGCAACGCAAAGAAAATAGGAAAACTGTAAATGACCAAGCATAATCAGCACCAATTTTCAAGTTCGAAGTGACGAGTCAATCCTTCTGCCGGTACTAAACAATTTCAGATGGCTACCACATAAAGCGACAATCAGCCGGTGTTCTCCTCTCCCTTTAATAATTATTCAATCAATCACAAGAATCTCCCACATGAAACAGTTCCCCATCGTAACCAGACCTTTTTACTTCTTCCGTTGCCTGCGGACCCTCACATATTTTATAGCAGACTTGTAACGGCCACCGCTGCCCAATGAGAAGCTCCCTCCAGCACCAAATTCCAGACTACCAGAAGCCTCAAAAGGAGATGGATTAGGTGGTATGGGCCGTGTGACTACGCTTGGTTGGCCTCCAAATTGGAAAGAACTTGCTACTGATGGGGACGCTGCAACAAAAAAAGGTTGCTTCCTGTGCTTGTGATTGCAGGTATAGAGGAAAAGATACTACTTCCTGTACTAGCTATTGACAAAGATGTACCACCAAAAACACTACTGCCTGTGTCCGTAGTTGCAGATGTACCACTAAAGATACCATTGCCCGGGTTTGTCCCTGTGGAAAATGTGCTGCTGACGAAGCCACTTCTGGAGTTTGTGATATTGGACGATGTACCACTGAAACTGCTGTTTCCAAAGCTTGTGACTACAGCTGTTGTACAACCAGAAGTGCTGCTCACAGTGCCTGTAACTGCAGATGTACCACAAATAATATTACTTCCAGAGGTAGGAAAAGCGGATGTACTACCAAAAGGAATAATGGGTACATTGCCGGAGCTTGTATCCTGGGTCTTAGCTTCAGTTGCTTCTCCTGAAGTTGCTGATAATGTTGAAACTGAAGCTGATGGGTCCCCAGATGATGCAAATTTGAAAACAGTTGCAGCTGTAAAGGAAGAGACTGAGGCCTCCGTAGAGGCGGTAGTACTAGCGGCATTGACATTGGAATTTGTGGAAGTGGTGGCAGCAGCTAAAGTGTCACTATTGGTGGTGAAGGACATATAGTTGGTAGAGCTACTGGATGAACATTGACCATTATTGGAGACTAGAGATGGCATGAGCGAAGAGAAAGAAAAAGGACTTGAAGCAACTGACCCATTATTCAAAGTAGAACCGTTTTCCGAGGCACCAAACTTGAAGATGCTTCCAGCTGATGTCGAAGTGGATACAGGACAGGATATTTCAGATATCCTGAAGATCCCGTTCAGAGTGTTCTCCTTATCAGTTTTATCTGACAAATAATTGGTTGTACCAGGAGCAGTAGTAGCAAAGCTGCACATAGAAGAAATGAAATCTTTCATTCTACCCCATTCTGCCTCAACAGTCTTCTCCTCCTCCTCAGCAAGCTTGGCCTTGGCCTCATACTCTGGCCATTGCTTTTCCAGTGCTTCCAGCTCCATTTTCAATTCCTTGGAAATTTTAAAAATTTGCTTCAGCTCAGCCAAGATATTCTCCCTCTTCTTTTGTGCCTCATCAACTTGCTCATGGAGGGCAGCAATTTTTTGCTCCACTTGTTTCACCTCCGCCTTGGCCTCTTTGAATTTGATTACACTACGCTCCAAATTACGAGTAAGGGTCAGCTTGACAGATTCCTTCTCAGTAACGAGATTCTTGTCCTGCACCGCTTTTGCTGCTCGGTCAGGTAGTTCTTTAAAGTTTTCCTCCATGGCCAACAACTGATTTTTTTGCTCAATTGTAAGAGTAGATGAACAATCAAAATTAGATAGGATCTTGAATGCTTGATTAAGTGGAGAAAACTCCCCTGAATCATAAAAATTAGCAGGGTCCATATTCAAGGCTTTCTCTATTTTGGCCAGAGCTTCCTTTGCTTCTTCTTCAGAAGAAACAGTGTTAGAGAGTGCAAGCTTAGACTCTAAGCTAGTAAAGAATGAGTCCATATCTTTCCCACTAGGGTCTTCAGGTTCAATGGTCTGAAATGGAGGAAAAGAAATTAATAATAGAGATACATAGATGCGTAAATATTAACAACATGGATGATTTACCTCACTCTGGGAAGAAGACTGAGCAGTTGGCAAGTTTTGGCCGGTAGAATTTGCCTTATCTTGCCCTGGAGAAGATGCGACAATAGGAGCTGCAAGAATAGCTGGTGAAGGAGTTGTGGTTTCTTCTGGTTTTGTTACTAAAGTTTTCTGGCTGTCTATTTCTGCCTTACCACAATCAGCTTCCATACACTTGAGTTCATCGGAACGAGCTTCAACTATAAATTCATGCGACTCCCAATCAATAGTCCCATCAGTCGAAATGTCGGCTTCAACTAAGCATGCATCATCCATTAGGTAGCCTTTCTTAGGGTCGTGCAATTCACTGAGAGGTAAGAATCTAGTGAAGCCCCGATCATTCTCCTTTGCGTTAAACTCATGCCGAGCGACTACCAAAAGCAGGAGTGTCAATCAATATTAACCAAGTTAGATAGAGTTTGATAGAGTTTGAATTTGAGCAAATTGATTCAGTTTTTTAGATTCAAATAAATTTTGACAGCTCTAACTATATATAAATGTGGATTAAGGGTTGTGAAAATTTTATGTAAACTAAACTATCTTTTCCTTTTATTCAAATTTCAATTATGTCAATTTTTATCTCATTAGAAATAAAATTTACAATATTTTATTTATTCATAGAGGTCTTATCCTCTATAAAACAGCACCCAAGAGTTAAAAGTTAGTAAAAAATGGCGTAAAAATTAATTAACTTTAAAAAGTTGTAAATCTCATAAAAATAATTAGTCAAAAGATTTTAACTAAAAATAATTTCTCCTTCCATTTCAATTGAATATCCATCTTACCATTTTTTTTAGGATGTTGCAAAATATTATTCATTTTCCAAGACAAAAACAGTTTTCCAATGTTACCCTTGTTGAAATACTAAGGTAGTAATTGGTTTTAAAAAATAAATATATTTTTATTTTATTTTTTGAAAGATGAAAAATAAAAGAAAAAACGAGTTTTGTAATGAAAAATGAAAATAAATTTTCAAAAAATAAAAATGAAAATACATTCAAATGTTAAAAAACAAAAAAGAAGATGTTTTTAATGCTGAAAATAAGAAATGTTAATTACTTTTTTTTTATATTTTTACTTATATTTTACAAGAAGTTGACCTAACTTTGAATACTTTGAAGTTATTAATTAATCAAAAAATAGATCAACTTATATTGATATAAAATATTTTAGTTTTATATCTTTTATTTTCCGTTGATTTCAATAAATCCAAAGAATAAAAGAAATAAGTTAAAAAATAAAAAATAATTTAATCTCATTCTTTAAATTTATTAAAATTAATTTTTAGAAAAAATGTAAGACTTTTTTGTGTAAATTGATTCCTCCACATTAATAAATATTATTATATATTTATAATTAGATACCATTAATAATAATAATTTTCGTAATTACTTATTTTTCTTTTGTATTTTTAGAAAACAATTTTTGTTTTCATTAACCAAAGATAAAAAACAAAAACTATTTTTAAAAAAAATAAAAAAATAAAAAATATTTTTTTTCAAACCAAACAGAATTTAACTTTTATTTTTACAACTTTTAAAGGCAATATTTTAAAATCAAGAACAAAATACCTCGTTCCTAAAATTGTGTACCATTTGAAAAAGGACATCAATTTGGAATTGATAGAGTAATAGATTTCGAAATTTATAGAATGCTCATTTTAATAAAGTAATTTGCAAATAAAATTAAAATTTTTGTTAAAATGATTAAAGTTGTGATCTAACCAAATAATTTTTGTCAATATCCACGGCGTTTAAGAGTAAGACCACTCCCAAGCTTGATTCGACTCACGACAAATTTGAACATAGATTATTAGATTCGAACTCACCCAATTGGATTAATTATTTAAGAATTAATTGATATATTTAATTTAATTTTAAAATTATAAAATATTAATATAAAAATAATATTTTAGTATTTAACAACAAAACAATATATAAATGAAAGCGACCTATTGATGTACACTAAGATTTCCCACTATGCAAGATCTGGATGCCAATAAGCAAGATAATTGCAGCAAGTTGTCTTGTCTTCAAAATGAAGATTTTACTACTTAATAACTAACTTCTTTCCTAAAGCATTGAATAAACCAAATGCACAAAGGTGAAATGGCAGTAAGTTAAGTTGCTCGCACTTATGTAATATTAAATATGATTGGATACCTACCTATATATATTCAATTCTTTTTAATTTTTTATTTTAGATTTGATAAATTATATTTGAGATTTCAATGAGTAAAATTACTTATGAGTTATTTAGATTTAGTTAAAAAAACTCGAGCTTGAATTGTTTATTGTCGAGAGTTTAAATTCAAATTATTTTTATTAAGAATAAAAAAATTAAAAATTAAATAAAAATTATAATATTTAGTTTAATTTAAATTGATTTTTTATTATATTTAAATTAAATTTAAATATTAAATATATATTAAATTTAAATCAAATCGGATAAGATTTTGGATCCAAAAATAAAAAATTGAAAAAAAAAACAAATTGAATTATATTTTTATTAGTTTTTATATATTTTTAAATTTTTATAAATAATTATTTTATAACAAAATCTATTTATATATATGTTACAATTTTATATTAAAATAATATATAAAAAATAATTTTAAAAATCAATAAATCAAACCGAACCAATTAATACAAAAAATCAATTTAAATTTAGATCAAACTCTAAAATTTTATAATGTTATATATTATCTAAAAAATTAAATCAAATTTTATTTAATCTGAACTATCACTCGTAACTCTAGTAATTAGTTGAACCAAATTCAAAAAATTTGATATTCAATTCAAAATATTCATAAATTTAATTAAATTTTTATTTTTTAATATATTTTTTATATATAACAAAAAAATCGATATTTATAATTTATTGAACCGAATCGAGCTTATCTATTGAACAGAGCTCAAATAACTCTATTAAATTATAAATCAAACTCAAATATGAAAACTGATCGAGTTTCCAACATCCGGTTTTTGAATCGAATAGAAGTCAGAACAGGAGAATATAATTAGGTGGTTGAGTAAAATACCTTTTGTAATAGAACTTTTACGATCAATTTGGTTGACGACAGCTAATCTGAATTGTGCATACCTACTCCATCCGCAAGGCAAAGTTGCTGAATCTGCAACGTCTACATAAATTGATAAATAATCCGCACGGTTCCCCTTGGGAAAGATAAGAAGTCGCCTGTCAAAATATAATTGCACATCTAATCATTGATAGATTAAAAAAAAAAAAAAGGAAAGTAAAATATAACCAATAAAAGAAGATCAAAATTACCATCTAGTGTCACCGACATCGAAATTGTTGGAGTAGAGCTTCTTGTCTTCAATACTCGAGAAATTCTCGATCCTCCATGTGAATTTCCTCAGTCGTCGATTAATATCCATCGACCGACTATCCACTGCACTTGAAAAATTAAAAAAAAAAAGTTAATTCAAAGGCTTACTTTTCTTTCCATTAACAAATAAAATGGAAAGGCAAAAGAAAATGGAGCATTAACAGAGAAGGGATTAAAAGGTGAAGCTATGTTTATGAATACCTTCTTCCATTATCAGATGATATGTGCTAATAAAAGATACTATCGGTAGAACGTCGAGAGGAAGGTTCGGGGTTTAAAATCACACTTGCTCTTCCGTCTACTTCTGATATATTTATAGTCCCAATTTCCTAGCGTTCCAAATTTTATTAATTTTGAAAATCTAAGTCTTTTCCTTTCCCATGAAGTCTTCTCTGACTTAGACATTTCTTGGTCTTTTCTTTCTTTTTCTTTTTTTTTTAAAGCTTATTACTTAAAACCATTTAGCTGTTAAGCCATCTTTTCTTACCTTTTACTTTTAAGTCGTGTATTAAATTTAGGGTGGGTTTGGACCGAAACGTGCATCCAGCATAAGTTCAACTGTTACGAAAAATTGTGTCAATCATAATTTATAAATCCAACAAGGTATAATGCACGTCAATTTTTCACTGGACATAAAATTTTTAGTGACTCAACGCAATTGCATTTTTTTTTTCCACTTCTCTCCTTTAAGCTAACAACTTCAATACTTTACATTTAATTTTTCTATTTTTATTTTATTTAAAATTTATAAAGTAATGTTGTTAACTTAATGTAAAATAAATTTTATTATATAATAAATTAATAAATAAGTTTTAATTATTTATTAACAAAATTATTATTTGATTTTAAAACAATTTAATATTTATCAATTATTTATTAATTTTATAAATATTAAATAATTTAAAATTTTTAATACATATAATTTTTAGTTAATGTTTTTAATGATCATTTTTCATTCTCCTTATAATTTATCTCATTGTCATTGCACTTTATACATCCAAACACATATTTTATTATTAATTTTAATTTTATTATTACAATAATTAATCTCACATCTGCTGTTATTTTGAATCTTATGAGAGTTAAACTCACTCTTCATCCAAATGAATACTTAGACATGATAATTTAAAGCACATTACAATAATATGAAATTGATATAAAAAATAGAAATATATAAGTTAAAATGTTAATAAAAATAAAAAAATATACTTTATATTAAATATTCATCTTAAAATCAATTAGCAATAAATGGAGAGATATAACTTAAATATAAAATTATATGAAATTAAATATTTGTTAGATATGAGATAATATTATTTTAATAAACTCTCATTATGTGTAGGCGAAAATAAAATAAGCCTACTGCGTGATAAATTTGAAAAAAAGATAAAAAAATTATGAGTATGATATCATATTAAATATTTAACTTAAAATCAATTGACAGTAAGTTGAGAGACTTAACTTAAATATAAAATTATAAAAAATTAAATATTTATTAGATGTTAGATAATATTACTTTAATATTTTGTATATTTCATATCAATACGAATTATGATATATAAATTTTATGTAAAATATTACATCAATATATAAAATTTTTATTATTTTATATGATACAAACACATGAATTATTAATCTAATTAAACTATTAGAAATTGTGAAAAATAAAAACAAAAATAAAGAGAGAATGAAAGAACAAGGTACGAAAGGGATTTTTTTCTTTTTTTTTCCCAATAAGATATTAAAGGGAAATAATAATTCCGGTAGCACCAAAAAAATAATAATCCTTTTTTTTTTTCCAAATAAGTACCATAACAATGCTAAAAAATAATAATGAGTAGTTTTTTATTCATTAAAGAAAATTTCAATCCCACAAAAAAAAAATAGAGCCGACGTATATATATATTTTATGAAATTACAAGTACAATTTACAAATCATAATAAATATTACATCAATATATAAAAAATAACTAAATAATCTAACAAATCAAAATATATCTAAATAACTTTAATATAAAGTTGAATCAAATCTATATATAATTAGACTTGGACTTAAGTCTTAAAGGATTATAAAGCCTCTTACTTACTACTTAAGAGGGCGTTCAATTTGCAAATTTTAGCTTTTTTTTCTTTGAATTTTATTTTACATAATTTAATTTCTTAATTTTGTTGAAAATCTTTACTTTGCCTTAGGAATCTTATAATCTTAACAGTATAAAAAAAAAATAGTAGAAATCAAAAACTTTCCTTTTTCTTTAAGAGTGTTATTAAATGCACTTTCATTTTCTCTCTTCACACTTCAATTTTTTTTTCAAAATTTTTTTAAATAAAATTACTTAATTACCATTCTCATAACTTTATAAAGTTTTATAATTTTTTGAAAATAAAAATTTGAAAAATCATTTAATTTATCAAAAATTGATTTTCAAAAAATTATAGATTTTTTCAAAAATAAATTTTTGAAAAGTCAAAAACTTTTTTTGAAATTTAAATTTTTAAAAATTTATTTTTAAAAATTTGTATGAAAAATAAAAATAATTAAATAATTTCATTTACAAAATATAAAAAAATTGAAATAAAAAGAAAAAAATGGTATGATGCATCTAGCAGCACTCTTTTTTAAAATTAAAAAAAAAAGTGAAAAATTTCTCCCAATTACCCTTACTAAATAATATTTCGGACTATATTATTTTTTTAATCTCTTAAAAATAAATGTGATTTTTATTACTATAGTTTCATCAAATACAACATATCTCCGATCTCTGTACTTCTCTCTCCCGCCCCACACTCCGATATCTGTTTACCCGATAACCCATATCTCCACCCTTAACCCCTTCTTTTCCTTTGACTTTAATTTTATTGTTTTCCATATAATTTTGATTTTTTACGCTTGAATCCTTTGATATGGCCGACGAAGTTAACAAAACTGTAAGAACCAAATCTTTTTTTTTTTTTTGGATTGTTTTCTGAAAATTTCTTTTTTGATTTGACTGCCGGCAAAGTTGAAAAAGTGAAATCTCACAGTGTTAATGACTTATGTTGGATAACAGGCATTTTTAGAGATTCAAGGTCGAATGATTGAGCTCACTGGCAAATTGAAACAGGTAAGTATGATTTTCCTTTAGATTAGTAGTATGGCTCTGTAGGCTCTTGCTTGGAATCTATGTTCTCTCATAGCCGAAGATTTTATCTCATGATTTTTTTTTTTAAACAAAGGAACCAATAGAAATAGATTGAAACAGAGATTTGATTTTTCTCGATCTCTCTGATTTTATGTAGCTGTTGACCTTCTGTTGAGCTAACTTGAAACTGCAACTTTTGGAGGGACAAAAGTTGCTAGGAGTTTGATTTAAGTAAGCATATTCTTTGCTTTATGAAGTGTGGAGAATGTCTTCTTGAACTTAAACCTAGGATGACCACAATCACAGTTGAAGTATAGATTCATATTAAAGAGGTTTTTTATTTTATTTATTTTTTGGCTGGGATAAAGGACAATATGTCCTGTTGAAGGCACATAAGATGTGGTCATAGTTATTGGAGTTGTGGGAAAAAAGTAGATTTTATAACTGAGTGATATTCGTGAAAAAGCATTTGCACCCTTCGAGTCAACCCATGGAGGGGTATACTGGATTAAGCAATCGCATGATCGGGCAATTTGTATGATTCCTGTTGTTGTGTGACTTCAAGCAAACTTTATATTTCTGATAATTGATCCTATGTCATTTTTAAGGATGTCCAGGATGTAGAATGGCTGCTGCCCCCTCAAGCTGCAAAAATTTTTGCCTTACAGTTATCCTCATATGTGTGCCTAAATATAGTTCTGAAATATTGTGTTGTGTGATTTTACATCTGAACAGTCTATGTTTCTTTTGCATTTTAGAGTGTATCGGAGTTCTTTGAAATATAAATACACTTATTTCACATGCAGTGAAATGGTAATCTGAAATTGAAATTTTTGTTCAACTTTGATGTCAAACTCGATGGATTATGTACTTTTGTGGGATATATGGCAAAGAGCAGACCTCCTGACATTTTGTCATATTCCTGCATCCAAGCAATTCTTGGTTGGGTGAATCTCACGGTTGAGTGCATCCTCAATCTTGTATTGCTTGATGTTGTGCATTTTTTTTTTTAAAAAAAAGGCCCTCAAAATAAATTTTCTTTCAGTGTTTAGGTGCGAGAGTGGCTGTTGTACAGTTGATGTCATTTTTATTGTGATCTTTTACCCCATTATAATTTTCTTGAAAGACTTGTGAATTATCTTTTAACCTCTGGTACTGAAGTGAGTGAATCCTATGACTTCTAGGTGCAAAACCAGATGCGAAACAAGGAAGGAGAAAAGAAGCGTGCTTTCTTAACGTTGGAGGAGCTAGGTCAGCTGTCTGATGATACAAATACGTACAAATCCATAGGTATGATATTCAAGCTGTGATTTTGCTTTGGCATGAGATATTAGTGTTCTGTTTACTTGTTCAAAATGGTTTTAAATTCACACATATGGATGCTAGGTTTAGGCTTCTCTTTAGTTTCAGAACTGGCATTATGTATGGGGCTGTTTCATATGTTGTGACCTATGAGCAGCTGTTGTAGCTGCATTATAGTTTGATTGTGCCAAATGTGCAGAGCAATAACCTGTTTGTCTATTGTTTTGCAGGGAGAACGTGAGTACCTGATAACTTAATTAAATGTTAATCATGGTTAATGACCTGTGAGGAATAATACATGACATGGACTGATGAACATTTTTGTTTGGCTCTCTTTCATCATCTGTCCAGGTTTGTTTTAGAGCCTAAGTCAGTTTTAATGAATGAACAAGAACAGAAGCTGAAAGATAGTGAGTCTGCAATTGCTTCATTACAGGTAGTTTTCTTTGTTTGTCTAAACCTTTTTGTGCATGCGTTTTCTCCGTTTGAATAATCTGTTTTCATTTGTGTCCATTTTGCTTTTGAACTGTTATATCCTATTTTACTACTGGTCTGAATATTTTACCTATTTATCAAAATAACAAAGTCTGCTAAACTACCATATGTTTAACGGGTCGTCTCACCATGTTTTACTCTTATTGTTTTGTTATATGCTATAACTACAGTATGTTAAGACATCATGAGATTTTTTAGTGATTTTACGGCTTCTATTATTTGGATTTATTATGGCTTTTGTTCAATCTTACAAAAGTTTGTTCCTTAGCTTAATTAGTTCTAAGAACTTTGCAAGTTTTTAGAAGCGTTCTGTTTTTTGTGCCCTTTAAGTTTTACCAAAAAGGGAAAGAAGGAAAGAATAATGTAAATGCACATCTTTTGTACGTGTAAATGAATTATCCAAATTTCAGTATGACAATTTGTAGAAAAGTTTAGGACCTAGTTGTTGATTGGTGGCTAGATTAAAGTGGTTGTAGGCAAGCTTGCAACTTTCTTCAAATGAGAGTGAATTCTTGATTCCGAATGGGGCATTATGTGCTGCGTGGTAGTTGGTTTAAATGCTACAAATGAACCTAAGTAAGCAAATAGTTACCTGCCTTGGCTTTGCTCTCATTTGCATTCTCATTCTCATTCTCGTCTTGAAATTGTTATTCAACTCGAGTGCAGTTTTTACGGAAACATATCACCCACAATTGCTGCAGCATAATTAACGAATCAAAATTTAATATTGTATGGGGTCCATAAAAAATTTCTATAAGACCCACACTTTTAAACAGTGTACGTCTTTGAAAGTAACCTAACATATTGGTTTTCGACAGACCTCGAAGGAGTACTTGGAAAAACAGATAGCCGAGGTGGAGAACAACTTGAGGGAGCTGCTGCAGCAAGATCCAGGTCTCGCTCGTCAGATAATGTCCATGAGTGTAATTTGATTTTCTCTCTCTCGTTGAAAATATCTTGGTTTCTTGTGTTCCTTTAGCACTGTGAGCGAAACAAAAACGCTTATCATATCCCATTTTGGGTCTAATTTGCGTGGCCGTGTTCTGACTTAGCTACATCTGCAACTTCCTGTTCTTCAATCTATCAATCTCCATGTCTTGCCTTTATGGTGTGAAGTAAAGAAAAACAAAAAAAAAGAGGGGGGGGGGGGGGCGCTTACTTTTTGTTACTTCAGCCATTAATAAAAAATTCAAAGATTGAGTCATTTATAAACCATTAATCTCTTTGATAACTTGGAAATCAGTTGGATATCAAATTTTGATTAAATTTATTTATTTTTATATTTTTATGAGATTTTAGGAAGGTTGATTACCTGATTTCAAAGGTTAATTATACTTGTTTGAGTAATGTTATTGTCAAATAATATGAGAATAATACAGGCTTTTTTTCTTTTGTTTCATTAATTTATATTTTTACCAAAAAAAAAAACCCATTAGCTATAAGATTTAGGATTTTACTTAATTAATTCGAATACGGGTTTGTGATTTAGCCTGAAAGTAGATAAGAATAATAGCGCACACATACACACACAAAAAACCGTATAATCATGGATCAGGAAATAATAACACAGATTTCTAAAGGGTATCAATAAATATCAAGGATTTTATTGTTGGTTATTGGAAAAACCAATAAATAATTAAATAAAAAGGTATCAAAGTTCGATTTTAGTTCATGAACTTAATTTTAATGAATTTAATATTTATATATTTTATAAAATATCGAATTAAGAAACACTTTTATAATTAAATTCAAATTGGTGGCTTTTTGTTGATAACATGACGTACTAACATGAATTTTTTTTTTATCACGTGTCATATATTAATATGAAAAAAAAAACTTTCATTTTCGAAGAAAAAAAGTAATTAAAAATGTTTTTTTAATTTGAAAATATTAATTATTATTTAATTAAAATAAATAAGATATTTTTATTAGCGTGTTATGCAGCCAACAAATTAATCAATTTCAACAGGAAAGTAACCATTAAAATGTCATATCATCCAAATTGTTTTTAATTGTTTTTAAGTCGACTTTTAATAAAGACTGTAAGATTTAAATTCATTAAAATGAAAAAAAAAAATTGAAACAGTATAGCTTCCAAAATTCAACTTCAATCTAAAAAACCAATGAATTTATGAAGATTTATTTCAAATAAAAAATATCTGGAGCACCGTTTTACCTCCACTAATAGGATTAGCTAGTAGTTCGATACCCTTTACGGTATATATATATATATATATATATATATATATATATATATATATATATAACTAATAGGATAAGAAGTTCGTACAATAATCTTTTAAATTCTCACTTGCTCTTTAAAAATATATATAAATAAATAAATAATTTTAAACAGAATACGAAGAAACAATTCAAGGTCTGGCATAATGATTGCAAGACTACTCCACTTATCCTAGTTGTGAGATTACATGATAAGCGCACAAGATAATAGGCTAAAGAATACGATATATCAGATTACAATAAACAAACTTTATCTTGAATGATGAAAGTTATCTGTATTAAATGGTACTATTTATTTCAATATCAGATGAGGTGATGAGTGTGGTTTTCTTTGTCACTCTAATATTGAAATAGAATAATAATTTTTAATTGTTTTATCATTTTTAAGAAATAATATTCGATAAATTTGATATCCAAATTTTAAGTCATATAAGTTATATTTAGTACATAAAATTACGATAAAATAAAATAAAATGATATTATAAATAAAAAAAATATCATTATATTTTATATTTAATGTGTATAAAGATTAAGATATGATAATTTATTTATTAATCAAAATTATTTTTTTAATTAATATAATTTAAATTATTAATATAATTTTTAAAAATATAATAAAACATATAAATTTAATCTCATTAATTAAAAATAATTTTTGTATCATAACATGATTAAATTATCTTATACGAAAAGAATATAATCCTCATTATAGTTTTAAACTCAATCACCTTAATATAAATTAAAAGGTATAAAAGATTATTTATAATTATCATACAAAATAATTTGCATCCCTATAAAATCTTAAAAATTGCAAGCAGCTGTTTAATTGAAAATTGCAAGCAACTATTTAATTGAAAATTTTGGACTTGCTAAATGGTCTAACGAGTATAACAAGAACATTGAAATGGTACAAAGAATACTTCTTGCACCTTTTCCTTTTATTTCATTCCACGAATCAGTCTCTCTGTTCTATTGTATGTTCCACCATTCTCCTCTATTCCACGAACCAAACATACCGTGTGTGCACATATATATATATATATATATACACATATATACATATATATTATATTTAGAAGGGATATAAAACATCATCATCAAATTCTAAAACCCGAGATATTTAGCAAGCACGAGACAACTGAAACTGATGATACAAGAATTAGCCATACATAATTTCATTCATGAAGAGGAGCTCAAGATATTCTCTCTCTAAAAATGAAATTCATAACCATTGTCATTGTTTTTTTTTTTTTTTCATGTTACATATGACAAGGGTGAAAAGAACAGGGCCAAAGGCACAGTTGTTCAAGCCTGAAAATCTATCAGCTAATTATACTAGTACAGTACAAATCTTTTCTCAAATGCTACTAGGAAAGGCCATACAAAATTGTGACAAGCTTCTGCCAGCAACACAAAAAAAATTAGGAAAACTGCAAATGACCAAGCATAATCAGCACCAATTTTCAAAGTTCGAAGTGACCAGTCAATCCTTCCGCCGGCACTAAACGATTTCAGATGGCTACCACAAAAAACAACAATCTGCCGGTTGTCTCCTCTTCCCTGATAATTCAATCAATCACAAGAACCTCCCACATTAAACCAGTTCACTACCGTAACCAGACCTTTTTTACTTCTTCCGCTGCCTGCGGACCTTCACATATTTTCTGGCAGACTTGTCACTGCCACCGGTGCCCAATGAGAAGCTCCCTCCAGCACCAAATTCCAGACTACCAGAAGCCTGAAATGGAGATGGATTAGCTGGTGTGGCTATGCTTGGTTGTCCTCCAAATTGGAAAGAACTTGCTCCTGATGGGTTTGATGCACCAAAAACAAACCCAGATGCTGGTGGTGAGATTGGCTGTTGACCAAATGTTGGAACAGTTGGCGAAGAAGCCTGAACTGTGTCCTCTGCCATACTATCCTCCATTTGATCATTATTACCAGAGGGAGTTGACCCAAACATCAAGCCAGGACTAGTGTTACCAAACACAGACTGTGATGGAGTAGAAGCTGCAGCTGAAGTGAACGAAAATATAGAACTTGAAGAGGCACCAGTGGATGACCCAAGGATAGTAGGTGCACTGCTAAGTGCAGTAACAGAAGCTGATGATCCCAAGGAAAACCCCGATGACAATGAACCAAATATGGGCGTCTTAGGGGCTTGCCAATTGGAACCAAATGTGCCAGAAGCAATGCCACTACTAGAGCTTAGAGAGTTGGTTTCTGAAGATGAAGAACTCATCCCAAATGTAGCCCCAGAACCAAAAGGTTTAGCTACAGATGCTGACGATTCAAACACTGAATTGCCAGATGAAAAAGTTGTATTCCCAACCAGTCCAAATGATGGAGATGATGCGGACGAAGAAAATTGAATGGGCATGCTTTGAGTTGAGGTACCAATCCCAGTTCCAGCAGCAGATGCTTGGGTATTAACAGCATTAAAAGGATTTAAACCCTGAGTCTGTGTAGTAGATCTGGATGCAGCTGGAGCACTGAATCCAAATATGTTGCTTCCTGTGCTTGTGATTGCAGGTGTAGTGGAAAAAATACTACTTCCTGTGCTTCTGACTGCAGGTGCAGTGGAAAAAATACTACTTCCTGTACTAGCTATTGACAAAGATGTACCACCAAAAACACTACTACCTGTGTCTGTAACTGCAGATGTACCACTAAAGATACCATTGCCCGTGTTTGTCCCTGTGGACAATGTGCTGCTGAAGAAGCCACTTCCAGAGTTTGTGATGTTGGAAGGTGTACCATTGAAACTGCTATATCCGGAGCTTGTGACCACAGCTGCTGGACAACCAGAAGTGCTGCTCACAGTGCCTGTAATTGCAGATGTACTACCAAAAATATTACTTCCAAAGCTAGGAAAAGCTGATGCACCACCAAAAGGAACAATGGCTACATTGCCACAGCTTGTATCCTGGGTCTTAGCTTCAGTTGCTTCTCCCGAAGTTGCTGATAATGTTGAAACTGAAGCTGATGGGTCCCCAGATGATGCAAATTTGAAAACAGGTGCAGCTGTAAAGGAAGAGACTGAGACATCCATAGAGATGCTAGTACTGCCGACAGTGACATCGGCAGTTGTGGAAGTGGTGGTGGCAGCAGCTAAAGTGTCACTATTGGTGGTGAAGGACATATAGTTGGTAGAACTACTGGATGAACTCTGACCATTATTGGGGACTAGAGATGGCATTGGCGAAGAGAAAGAAAAAGGACTTGAAGCAAGAGACCCATTATTCAAAGTAGAACCATTTTTCGAATCACCAGACTTGAAGATGAATCCAGCTGATGTTGAAGTGGATACAGCACAGGATATTGCAGTTTCAGGTGTCCCGAAGAAGATCCCATTCAGAGTGTTCTCCTTATCAGTTTTATCTGACAAATAATTGGTTGTACCAGGAACAGTAGTAGCAAAGCTGCACATAAAGCATTAAAGGTTTTAAAGAATAATACTCCAGAATCATATAATGATCAATCATTGTTTTGAAAAGAAACAATTTTTTGTGATTGTTAGAAAAGTGAAAGGGAGGTGACTATAAATACCAAACAGAAGCTAAATCTTATTAAAACATTCCTGAGTAGAAAAGCAATTTTGTCTATATACTGCTATACACACCTTCATTTCTTACTAGAACTTCATCTATTATTATTACTCTTTGAAAAGTCTTAGCTTACTTAACCATTAACAATTTTCAAATGGGTTAATTACAAATTTGGTACACGAACTATAGTCAAATTCTCAATTTGGTACCTAAAGTTTAAGAACTAGCAATCAGGTACTCGATCTTTACTTCTGTCTATCAATTTACACGAGACTAAAACCGTTATTCAAATGGGTAACATATCCAAAACTCCCAATAAAATTGTGACATGTGCATTTTGAGACACTTACCATGTTCCTAGTTGTTTAGGGGCACACCATTCATTTGAATATCAGTTGTAGTCTTGTATGCAAATGAATAGATGGAAGCAAACTTCCAAGTACCAAATTATGAATTTTTCAACTTTAGGTACTAAATTGAGAATTTGATTATGGTTTGAGTGCCAAATATGTAATTAACCCTTTCAAAACTATACACTTAATGACTTTCTATAAGATATTGTATTTAAACGTCTTTACAAAAGATATCACTGCAATTTAATGTAGGCCACTACAAAATCATTTATACTGTTTACACTACGCTTCAACACCCCCCCCCCCCCACAAGTCCCAACCTGATCTTGCAGAATTAGATTTCCACCAACAAAAGAAAGATTAGGCTTTAATACTTATGACCGTAAAGTAACATATATGCAATGGTCAAAATGATATAGCTGAATAACATATGATAAAGGATTGTTCAAGATAATCACCACCTGACATGCTTACATGCAGTGCGAGCTTACACTTTTGTCGCACTATCTCAACCTCACCACGCAAAACCAAACATCATCAAATGGACAAAAAATTAAACTTAAACATGAAAACTACCATCTTGGAAGTCAGCTATGTAATGTAAGAATTCTAACAATCAAAGGTCAATTATCATAAGTGATGCAAGAATTATAACAATCATATGTCAATTAACATAATCCTGATTTTCTATTTCCTAAAAGTCACAGTAGCAGCTTTAATCAATCTAATGAAGGAGAATTCCCCCATTCTCTTTCTTCTTAACCTCAAGGTGGTGTATTTGAAAGTTTGAATGTAAAAGAAGGTAAAGTAATGGGTGCGAGCATAAGAAAAATAAGTAAAGTAGTGAAACAACTTTCCTTTACCTTGTTTGAGAATGAAAAGGACTTGATGATAGAGTTTTTATGCATTATTAACAGCATACACTGACATTAAATCACTATTAAAATAAACCTTAAAGGGTAAAAAAATGATCCCAAGCAGAAATCAATAAATGTTTTACTCTACTTTTAAATCAGAAGGATTTTCACAGAATTTAAAAGTGAAATCACAAGGGAGGTGGAAAGGGTTAGATTCACCTCCAAAATCCCCTCCCTCCTTTTATAAGAACTCCAAAACATGGTAGGGTAAACCTTTTACTCCCTTTCAATCAACTAACTCTTACTCTATTCCATTCAACCGATTATTAGTAGTTCCTCGTATAATGCCTGCATTTGAGGCATAGAAAGAAAGAAAGGGAGAGAGAAGGCAGAAGTAAACGACCTTCCAAGCAAGACATGTTGAGTAATGAATATATACCAACCTGCTTGAGTTCTCTAGTTTTTGGTCTGAACTTGTGGCAAGCTTAACACCTGAAGATCCACCAGCTGATGAAACCTCAACAACATTTGTATGGCCAAAACCAAATGTGGAAGCGGCAGCATCTGACTGCTTAGCTGGAGCAACTTTCTCCCCAAAACTAAGCACAGGAGAAGTGGACTTTAGTTCCCCAGAGGCAGAATCTTTATTGGCTGTTGAAGTTGACAGAGATACCAACAATGCTGCTGGCACAGATGAAGTGGCCACCTGTGCAAGTGGAAAAGTAACACCAGCATTGTTTTCATCAAGTGCTGATTCATCAGATGTTCTCAAATCAGGTTCTTGGTTGAATGCAGAACTTGAAACCAACTTAACTTCAGAAAGACTAGAAGGCTTCTCTACAAGTATAGCTTCAGCAGCAGCACTCTTGCTCCCCATTACACAATAATCCAACCCCTCTCTCCCTTCACCAAATGTAGCAGATGTGGCTCCATTAGGAAAGTCATCATCATCCAGATCCAGGTAATTCTGTGACAGAGACCATAAAATTTTAAGTTGATAAAAATGGAAACAGAAGGGGAAAAACAAGGGGTGAAGCTTATAAATTTCCTTTCTCAATCCAAAAGTAGGCACTTGACAGACTCTTTTCTTCTAGCATCTTTGAATCAAAACAATAGCACTTGATAGACAAAATAAACAGGATGAATTTTCATCATTAATACTTCGCCCTATTTGATCACCAAAAAATCATAACCAAGATGATAGAAGACATCAATTACATCTGTTTACTCATTAATGCATACCTCATGCGTGCTCATCTGAAAAGCCCGTCTCTTTTGTTGAGGTAGCTGTACAACAGACTTGATCACACTGGAATCAGCAGCTTTAACATTAGGCTCATTATTAGCCTTCACTAAACTACCAGTATCTACACCATTTACTGCAGGAAGTGACTTGTTAGGGAGAGCAACCACTGTTTCTGTGCCATTTTCTTTAACCTCATCACGCTTATGAGACTTAGAGTCTTGAATATCAGGCAGTGCAGTGTGAGAACCATTCAACTTCTCACTATCATGCATGTTCTCCAGAAATTTAGAAGAATCTACATTCTCAAGGCTTTTAAGAGACTGCCCACGTAGCATAGATGGTAACAACTTAGTTGGTGATTTCTCCCCTGGGGAAACCAACTTGTCAAGTTGCTGTAATATTTTTGAAGCCATCTCACTGGACTTGGATGGAACAGGGGTAAAACTCGTGCCAGGAGTGCAGTTATCCCCATTCTCAGCTAGAGCATCTAAACCAGCTGAACTAGTGCCACCTACGTGGATAGATAGAGGACAAGTAGAAGCAGGTAAACTTAAGTTTTTTGATGAAAGAAAATTATATTTTTGACGAATCCGGCGAATAGGGCCAATTGATCCTATATCATTCTCTAATACTGAACTCCTGCGCTTTAAAACCTGCAAGGGAAAGAAATATATCCAGTGACATTCTCTAGATGAGGAAATCCTGAAAGAGAGAAATAGAATGATCCTGAATTAGTACCCCTTGTCTAGAGCCAGAAATTCTGTTTTGCTCCCATGCACTCTGAGATGATGATGATGGTCCACCAAAAGCATCATTTGCAGTGCCAGCACCCTATGGAACATACAAACAACTAGAATAAGAAATATAATAAAAAGCAATTATAAAAGAGAAAATGATTGTTGAGCATATGAACCTTAAGGAAAGTAACCGAGTTAACCCTGGAATAAGGTGTTCGTGCCATGCTATATATAGCAGACCTGCCCCGTGATCTTGAGGTCACAGAACCATTTCCGAGGCTCCCAACATGGCCTGACGATGTTGGCACAAGTGACATCATGGGTGATTTAGAAGGGAAAATTTTATTGCTCGGCAAAGCTGAATCTCCCCTAGGCACTTGATTGTGTAATCCAAGCATTGATACAGATACTTTTGAAGGCCTACTGCCCATGTAAGCTTTTGCAAGCTCAGCAGGTGAAGCAACATCCTCGTCAAGAACCTGCAACACCATGGAAGTTTTTTTTTTCCTTTTCGATATATGAAATTAAAATTATGCAGACCTAGAAAAAGCACTTACGGGTATATTACCCCAAAAGAAAAATGAAGGAAAAAAAACTTTTCCTTACAGTTGAGCTGACAAAAGGTGTTGAAATAAGATGGTTCTCAGTCCCATTTTCTCTAACTGGAGTCTTTGGAAAATTTTCTTTCTTGTCATATGATACTACTGGTTCAACTTTAGACCTCTTTTCTTCATTTCCACTGGGAATATCAACAGTTCTTGAACGTAGTAAACTCGTTAAATGATCAATTTCAGGTCTGCAAAAGAATAATAATAATATTCATTATCTATAGCATCAAGAAAGTCCATGTTGAAAGAATTACCAGTCAAGCATAAAGAAACAAGACAAGCCCACCAAAATATGGCCGGTGAAGTGTATTCCCATTCAAGCTGAAGCATGAAGGAAAATTAAAAAGCATAATAACAGCATGTATAGATTGGAAATTGGATAGCAAAGTAACCAACTAGAAAGGTTGCAAGAACAACTATAATTTGCAATGCATGAAGAGATTCAATCTTATTCATACTCTTGGCCTTTCTTCCAGTTGAAGGAAACTGAAAGAAATAGAAACCTCAGAATCCTAAAGCATCCGTGCACACATTCACAAAATGCAAATTATCTGAGTAAATGACACCAATTTAATTTAGCAAAGTTCGCTTGAAACAAAGTAGCACAATTAACCATGCATTTCAACTTGACATCAATAAGATGCAATTTGAGATCATCTTGCCTGGTAAATGTCTTCTGCTTCAAAATTTTCTCAAGTTCAGCAACTCCACCTTCATCAGTATGATTACTGGGATCCTCACATCCCATATCGGCTCCTTGCACAACAGAAGGATTCTGTGTGGACAAATTTACATAAAACAACAAAGCATATAAGTTGGGTTCATCATCGAGAAAATCACATAGGGGAAATTTTAAATAATCACAAAGAGGAAATTTTAAATAAACACATAAGAATAATATCATCCAGAAAAAAAAGGACAAATAACCTTAAAGTAACTTCCACAATTCATAATGAATAAAGGTAAGATATGATAATTTTGGACAAAGTCTGTCCCTAACGTTTAGGACAGTGACCTACTACTTACATTCTGTTGCTCCCAATAAAAAGCAACATACAAAGAAAAGCATGTGTAGAGTTTTTTTTTTTCTTAAAAAAAGAGTGCTTTCTGTTTAGTTTGCAGACAGTGCATTAAATCCAATTAAGTGTTTGGTGGATAGAAAAGAAAATGAATCTGAAAAATGGAAATGAAATAGGTCTAGTTGTTTCAAACAAAAAGAAGAATAAACTTATTTTTCAAGCAAAATGAGAGAGAGAGCTGAAAATGTTTAATGATGAAATGACACTCTTACAATATATATATATATATATATATATATATATGAATTCCTCACATTTAAGTCCACAGCATGATGGCTTTAAAAAAAATGGATCCTAACATGATTGGCTTTGTAAATTGCAATTAACCTTCACACAAATCAATTTGCCTTAGAGACAAAGTTTGATGACTTCATAGAACACAAAACAGACATACACACATCAATCTACCTTTACACAAATATATAAACATAAACATAAAGGCAAAGTTTGATGACTTCATAGAACACAAAACAGGCATACAAACATCAATCTACCTTTACACAAATATATAAACATAAATATACACTATTATAGACATTTTTTTCTTATTTTATCAAGCCAAACAAGTGAAAAGCATATAATCATGTACAAATTTAATCAAAATTTTGTTTACTAATCATTATCTTCACTCCAAGTTTCACTTCATATTTTTATGCACCTTTCCCATCTTTATTCTTTGTTTGGAAGTATGTGCAATCTTAAATTTAGGAGGTGTTGGGCCCTAGCTTATAGAAGAGTTTTTCTACAATAAAAGCAGAAGCAAAATATTTGACACAAATTTTTTAAATTTTTAGCTAATGCAGAAGGCCCATTTGGCATTCAGACGAAACAACAAATCAAAGCTTTTATAAAAAGTGCTAATGAGATTCTTTTTATATTCCCACTTTACCCTTCAACAATTTATTAATTGTTGGGAGGATTATATTTGTCAACATTCACCTTTTTTATTTGGTTCAATTTTTCTTCTAATTTCATTTTTTTTAATTTTTAAATAATACAAAATTATTTCACCAATTTATTTCTTTCATTTTAAAACTTATTATTTGGTTTAATGAAGTTTAAGTATTTGGTTTTTATTTTGTAACATAAATTAAACATTATCAAATAGTTTTCTACATCCTACAGAACTTCTATATTAAATTTGCCAAACATTATTTTAGATTCTCTTTACAACAGTTTTTGAACAGTATCAAATAAAAGTATAAGGCTTCTTACAGAAGTGCCAGACAAACCAAACAGACTCTTAATTTAAGGATATTAAAATTACTCATGTTCATCAAACATTCTTATTGTGTGATAATAAGAAAATTGCGATACCAAATGTGTTCACCATTTTCATTCTTTGAAAACAGTTATTTAACATACTGAAAGGATATTCAAGAAATCGAAAAATAAGCAATCAAAAATGTTTTCAGAAAACCAAAAGGAATACCACAAATAGAAAATGTTTTAAGAAGCCACAAACACCCTCAAATTGCCATGGTATAATTGCCTTAAAAATTTATTCAAAGGTGCGACTGCACTTAAAACACAATTGCAAACTTTAATGCTATATTCGGGAACATAATCTAAGTTTTGGGTTTGGTTACTTATAGTAAACTGTGAGAATAAATGCACATAATATGTAAAAATTAGTTAAAGATTCACCACATCTATGTATTTGAGAGGGTATAAGAATACAAATTTTAAATTCCCTATTTGACATATGCACCTCAAATTTATCACCAAGTAGAGGACTAGCAAAAACCCACACATTTGAAAACAATCATGAAAATCATGTTTTTATGAACAATCAAAAAGTTTACACTAAATTTGTAATCCAAATATCTTCTATCAAACTCAATTATCTAAATGCAGCCTAAGAGTCCAAAGTCCAATCTTCCACCAAAGAAAATGATTGAACTTGATAATATTGCACTAATAGACTTTTGCAACACAAAGATAATACTACCACATAGCAATAGAAAGAAAAAAATTTAGTTCAATATGTTCAAAGTTTCCAAAAAATAGTCTATGTGTTCAAAGATTGCAATTAATAGTTTTTCATTTTTCAGCTCTGAAAATGTTAAAACCAAAAATAAGCAACTAATTGGACAGAGATCCTTAATCAAGCAGACAGGAACATAAAGACAACTAGGTTTAAATATGCAACTTAAATACTTACTGTTGAAGTTGCTGCGGGTGGATTCTCCCTTACTTCCTGATTAGTCTCTGATGACATTATTACATGCAGCGCATAATCAACATAACCAAAATACCGAGAAAAAAAAAAAAAAAAAAAAAAAAAAACCTAATTAATGGTAATTTAAACTTCAAATATGCCTGACATAAATAATACATAAAACATTAACAGATTATAATCGCCAATCTATAATTTACTCATGGTTAACATATCCCAGGCATTAATTTACAAGAAGAAATTGAAGTAAAATACTGTACATGCTTAAGCATATTTGACATCTTCCTGTCGATAATTCATTAATATATTTTTTAAGTACACATTAATTTCCGATTAAAAGCAACATTAGGCACCGGTTCTTGTCTATTATTTGTGTTGTTGGGGAGTTATTATTCATTTTTAAATGAAGCATACATCAACTAGTAAGAAATATTATACACCAAAAAGAAAACCAAAGAAGAAACTGCTCTCATTTCAATAACAACACAATTATAAAGAGAATTATTATTCATAAGAAATAATTCCTTATTCTCAAACTTTTAAAGGTGATAAGCAAAATTAAAACCTAAACCCCCACATGTCCTCCTCAATCAGAAACTACAAATTCCCGAACCAAATGTTAACAAACTAGCACTAGAAAACCCCAACAATGAAAGCAACCTAAACGAACCCATTTCCACAACAAAAAGAAAAGAAAAAAAAACTGTTTTTCTCTGTATTTTAATTTCAGAAACAATAAAAGAGAGCCGCGGAATAAGCCTCACCTGACTCTGGCGCTTGCGGCGGAGGAGGCGGCGGAGGAGGAAGGCGTTTTCTAAAGACAGAGGCGAAGAGCATGTGAGCACTGTAAGTAATAAGCCTCTGCGCAGGATCCACCAATTTTGATAACCAACCATTTCTATCGCCGGTAATGGTGGGGTTCATTATCGAGGTCGGCGGTCTATCGTACGGCGTCGTATGCGTTGTCCTCCAAAACGGCCGTTTCCTGAACTTTCCTCCGACTCCTAGTTCACCATCGTACGGGTTACTCTCCTCACGCGCCGTCGCCATAGAAAAATAAATAGAAAGGGGAAATAAAAGTTAGGGTGTGGGAATTTTGTTGAAAAAATCTTGAAAGAGAGAGAAACGTAGCGTTAATTAGGGTTTTTATGTAAATTGTACGCAGAAAGAGGAAAAAGAAAAGAGAAATTAAAATTAAAAACTCTGTGCTAATGTATTTCTACGGGAAGTATACGTTTTTTTGGTATCTTCTTAGTCGGAGAGCAGTGATAAACTTACTACCTGTGGTGGTAAAGAAAGTAACAGGCGAGTATGGACTATTTATTAACTGCGGGAAAAAGTTGGTGGGTTTTATTTAATGATCGAAAATTTTGACCGAAATTGGACGGTGCTGATTTGACGGTGCTCTTTTAATTTTTTTTCCCCTAGGAATTAACTTTAAAAGTACCTCTTATATTATACATACTAAAAATAAATTATAAAAAACTCTTACAAAACTCTTTTCTTTTTATTTCTTTTATATATATACATTTCCTATTCGTGCCTATATTTTATTTTATTCGAGTTTTTTTTTATGTCATTGCACTTAAATATTATTTATTTATTTATTTTTAAATTATATTTAATATATATTTGTTTATATTATATAAAATTTTGAAATTTACATATTAATAGAAATTTTCATTAACACGTATATTTAATTAAAATTATTACTTGTAAATTGGATAACCTTTTTTAATCAAATAAATTTATTTAATAAAAGTTCATTTTCTTTATAACTTGAATAAAATTTTATTAATATTTATTTAATATAAAATATTTATAATAAAAAGAACAAAAAAAAATTTCCATTGCTTTAAAAAAATTTTAATATTTATTTTTTATGTATATTATTATTTATTATCATATATGATTGTCACATGTGTCACACATAAATACTAGTTTGTTATTTGTTTTTAAAATATATAATTATATGTTCCAAAAATAAATAAATATACTAGTGTATATTAACTAAAATTGGCATTAACATGATTTGTTTCATGTGAAAATTTTATCAAATTAATATAAAATTTATTATTTTAATGTCAATGTGAAACTAAAATTATAAAGATAAAAAATCAATATAAAACTTAACTATTTTTTATTTATCAAGTAATTTCATTTATTTTTTAAAGAATGAAAATTAAAACTCTTAAAATAAAACAATGTAATGAAATTTTAACTCCTTTATTTATAATTAAATAAATTTACTAATAAAAATCTTTAATGAAATCGAAATGAAAATTCTTACTTATAAATTAGTTAAATCCCATTAACAAAAAAATATTTACAATAACAATTTAAAAATACAATAAACAAAAGGGGTCATAGTCAGTTCAAAAGTTTTTCCAAATCTATTCTTTTATTTATAGCTATATTGATATAAATTATAAATTTTATATTTATATATATCTATATAACTATAACTTACAATCTATCTATTTATAATATCTACTCCATAATTTATTTATAATTTTTATCTATCTATTTATCTATATCTATATTTATTACCCATAATTAGAAAAAATTTGTTCACGAAAACAAATATATCTGATGTTTATATTTTATTTATATATATTTATCCATTTATATAAATATCTATAATTTATAATATATATATTTATAAGCATTGGATGTTAGAAAAAAAATTTACTGATGAAAATAAATATTTTTTTGTTTATATTTTTTAGTTATCATTTTAAATAATTTAATTATAAATATTAATAAAGTTATCTAATATATAAATAAAAAACCCTAATTGCATTCACAAAATTTCGTTAAAATTAATTTATTTGATAAGTAAAGATAAGTTAAAGTTTACATTGAATTATTTTATGTCATAATTCCAATTTTACATTTATGTTAAAATAATAAATTTTATGTTAATATGATATACCTTTAACATGGGATTAACTTTATATTTTAATTCAAATTTTGATTAATATGCACTTTATTAATTTCAGTCTTGTACAACATCCAACACACATTGAAAATATAATTATTATTTAAAATAAATAAAATGGATATAGGTAAAAACTTTAATTGAGGAAAACATATATTTTTCATATTTTTAAATTATCATTTTAAAGTTTTTTATCATAGATATTCATAAAGAATTTATAAATAAAAAATTTAATTCCTTGTAGCAGTTTGTTGGATAAATGAATAAATAAAATTATATATATATATATATATACACGATAAAAATAAACAAATAAATAAAATAACGCCTAAATTTCTTGCATGAAAGTATAGAAATTGGAAACGTAGCTATACCAATGATTTTGCCTATTAAGAGCATATCACATACATTTATTATATTACCATTAACCAATCACAATTTAAAATTTTGTGGGGTACATCAATGTTTTTTATGTATCCTACACTTATAAGTAATGAATCTCTACATAATTTTAAATTGTGATCGGACGATTGTAATAAAAAAGGATTGTAAATAACATGCTTCGCGATGCTCCTTACAATGAGTATGCTACTTGTTACTATACAAATTTCAGTTCCCTCAAAACTTAAAAGGAAAGAAAGAACAAGAACTTGAATGGTTGCCTGTACTCAAAGTTTTAATGCTTCTCTAAATCGGATGCTGAAACTATTTTCTAGGCCTTTCTTACCATTACCGGCAACATTTCCTTTCTGCATCATGGCCACAAACTCATTGTAATCTATGGTTCCATCCTGCATATGATCGGTAGAATATATATATTATCAGTGGACAAATGATATAGGCAACAAAGTGCTAAATAGAGTTTATTTTCCATATGATTATTCTTACGACAACTCTGTTATGCAAAAGCATCAAATTTTTTCTTTGAAATGAGGAACGGGGTTATGGCAAATGGATGCATTGATGGCTTCAGTATAAGAATTAGACAACTTTATTGTAAACCCAGAAACAGGATTCAAGAGCTGACTATTTAAAGATCAGGAATGCGGTAGTGAAGAAAACCGAAACTGACTACCAACTCAATTTGAATCTTGGCTAAGCAAGCAGAGCTAACTTAAGAATTTGAACCCCAGATCACTTATTTGGGTGAACTGTTGCTCAACCACTGAAGCACAGCTTTTCACTGCATATATTTTGGCAAGAGATATGAAAATCTTTCCCATTCTTAGATTTAGTTAATCTATGTTATAATATGATCAAATTAAAAATGAAAAATAAAAAAACCACTTACGTTATCCTGATCAACTTCTCGGATCAATTCTTCAAGGCGAATATCCTCTATGCCAAACTCCTTGCAAGCTTCTTGGAGCTCATCTAAAGTAATATAACCACTACCATCCTTATCAAAGTAGGAAAAGGCAGCAAATAAATAATCTTCTCTCTCAATTTTGTTTAGGTGCAGTGTAGCAGCTACAAATTCCCCATAATCAATTGTGCCGCTATTATCAACATCAGCCTGTAGTTTAAGGCGTGTGCATTAGAGACAACTCATCATTGCTTATTCACAATTAATTTTGTATTCTGTATAGAACAAAGAAAATCAAAAATAAAAAGAAGAAAAACTATATTTCCAGTCCAATTCCTTAGGAAAATCACCACAAATTTAGGATAACATTGAAAACTATTTGCTCCTTTCTGGATATCAGTTTTGTGAAACTAAAATCATGTCTGCCACTACCACCTTTGGACAACAAGATGGAACTACATGTACCAGATGCAAATTTGCAGGCATACAAAACTGTTCGAGACATGGGCCAGATCCAGTTGTTAGATGACTTAAGGCCTTTAGAGAATCCAGATGGACTTCATGGTTAAAGATACCCCATATCATATGGTCTATCTTCCTTTCCTTCTCTATGTAAGTCTATATCTTGTTGAATTCAAACACAAAAGATCCTAATTTAGAGGAAACCAAACCAAGAGAGTTCTACAAATTCACAAACTATCCTTAGTTATCTGCCTTTGGAAGATCATAACCAGCCATGAGTTGCCTTAACATGTCTCCTTTCTAAATTTTTTCTTCTTGAAGCAACCTCCTCTATGCTTGTTCCTTGAGGGTGGAATGAGGAAGATATTTTACAATTTTTTTGGGAACAAGCAGAGAGGTTGTTAGGTGTGCCTAGATTTGATGTAGAAGGTCACGAAATGGTTTTCTATAGTCTTGGAGGGATTCTTGGGTCCATGCAACTGAGATAATGCCCTATGCTTCTCTTTCAATATAGAATGAGGAAAAATGCTTAGCTCATTATCCCTTATGAAAATCATCCCAAATCCACATAACGCTTGTCCTGGCTGACTAGGAGTGTGTAGAAAAGGAGAAACCCTCAGAGTTGTTTATCTCAATATGCTATATCCAAATTCAGTCCCATACTTACCGCTTGCATAAGATCATAAATTTCAGACTCCTTAAGGTTAGCTCCAACTCTTTTCAATCCTGCTTTAAGTTCTTCGAAGGTGATCTGACCACTGTTGTCAGTGTCTATCATCTTGAACATTTCCTTGAGGCCAGCTATTTCTTCTTCAGACAGGCTCTCTGCAATTACCTAAAAGGGAAAAGAAAGAAAAATTCATCTCATCAACATAACTAGAAAAACTAAAGTACAAAATTTTGAGAAAAAACATGTCATGATAAATAGGTTTTGGTAGCTTGTGTATCCACTCAAGTGTGAAATCTTCCAATTCTATATACATAGTTCAATCCTTTCCCTCTCCCTCCCTCCCTCCCTCCCTCTTTCTCAGCCCCCTTTTCCCATATATTATGTCTAGCATCTCAAGAGACTTACTCTAAGGGCCATTTTCTTGAGCTTATTCATTGCAGAAAATTGCTTCAAACGACTTAAAACAGCAGAATCAAGAGGCTTGTCAGGAGCAACACCATTTATCTGTATCCAAGGGTGGCCTGCACCAAAGTTAAACAATATTAGCAATGGAGAATTAAAAAAAAAAGTTCCCTCCTGAAATTTATAGTCACTGCCTTCTACATTTAATCATATAAATAGTTGCCACCCACATTGTGGATAACACGGCAGACCAAAATCTTTCTAGGCAATAAGAACTGCAAAAATTAAGTCTACAGCTATACTGTTAAAGATGCAGCAAAAGACTCCATTTGGTTGATGCATTTACTGTTGGAGTTTTGCTATTTGCATTTTAAAGAATTGCTATAAAGCAAAAGTGAAAAGTAAAACACAATAGTATAATTGATTTAAAATGAACAAATAATTAAAATGTAACTTATATAATATGTCAATGAAAGCCGCTAGGAAGTCCAGATGTTTACTTTTGTCTACCCAAGGAATTATGCTACAAAGCCACATTATGATGTGATTCAATGCTGCATTTTAGAGCTCCAGTATGAATCTGTTTCAGACTTTCAATAATAATAGATTCCATTACTCAATTCATAGCTATCAAATCAAGAAACCCACATACACTATTAAAAATTAACCAATTATTACATTTATTTTTTTTAACAAGGAAACCATCCTATGACACATGAAACAAGTCTAAAATCTAAGGATGCCAAGCCTAAGCACCAAATGAAATAAAGGGAATTACAACCATGCCAATAGCATGGGAAGCACCCACTTGCCAATAGCAGGACCCATGTAGCATAAGTAAGAACAAAAAATAATGATAATATAAAAGCTGGAGTAGAAGAATGTAACTTACACAACACGGCATGTGCAGTTAACCGTCTCCTGGGGTCTCGAAGGAGCATTCTTCTCACCAAATCTTTTGCACCTTCAGAGATGCTAGGCCAAGGATCTGACTCAAAATCAAGGTCACCATGCAAGACCTGTTCAAATATATCTTGCTCGGTTTCTACATCATGGGGAAAAAAAGGAGAAAATAGTGAAGATCAAAACATAATCATGATGGTGTAAACAAAAGGGCTGCTAAAATAACTGCACTTGGCTAAATTAGGTTGCACTCGGTTGTGATTAATCAAAAATGGAAAAATCTTATGCACCAGCAATTTCTTACCAGCCCAAAAGGGAGGAACTCCACTTAAGAGAATGTAAAGAATTACTCCTGCACTCCAGACATCTGCTTCTGGACCATAACGCTTTCGTAAGACTTCTGGAGCAACATAGTATGGGCTCCCAACCACATCTCTAAATGTTTCACCTACAGGAGAAAGTGACCAAGAGGATTATGAAATAAAAAAGTAAATCTTCTCTGATTCCACTATTGATGTCAACAAATACAAGTGGAGGTCAAATTTACCAGGAGTTTTTGTTATATTGACCACGCAAACTAAGAAAGAGTGAAATTAAAGCAAGAGTAAAAGCTTTATAAATAATTTTTTACAAATAAACAAAAGAAAAGCCTGGTAAATTTTATGCCAATGCTAACTAAAAGATAATCTGTCTTTCTTGTAGAACTCCTGCTTTCAGATTGGCACTCAAAGTCCTATTTACTTGTAGAACTCTAAGACTCAATAGATAATGCAATACAATAGTGTCCAAATAAGAGTACAACGGAGAAAAACCTTGTCTGCCACAAACATTTAAAGAATCTAACACAACTTACAAGCCTAAATCAATGATGAGAGCATAAGACATCGATGTGCAAGTAATACCATAGCCAAGTGGATCGCTGGCAGCAGAATTACACCAGGGAGCTAGTAGCGTATCACGACACCCATTGTCAGAAACCATTTGAAATGCAATGCATAAGATTGATCTTTTTGTAATTTTACAAGGCATTCAAATGTAATTTCATATTTCTGATAGGAATTACTTGCATAAATAAACTCTATGTAGCAGAGAATTTCTTAATTCTGCTGATTCAATAATTGGACTTTGACAGAACTCAGTTAATTTTAAAGTTAAGAAAAACATGTAGTTTTGATGGGAAAATGTAGATCAAATTGAAAAGATTTTGTTAGCCAAAACGTTTATGGGCTCATGCCAGTTGAGAAATTAAATACTTGACAAAGTGTGTTTCCTCCCTTTTCTTTCTTTTTATTTATAAGTAAAACTAAAAGTTCAAGTATCTTATACAAATGCTTCCCCTACTCTAGTATGCTAATGAAAGCAGATCAGCGAAGAAATGGCTTAAAATAGGTAACTTAAAAAACGCTAACATTACCACTTTTGGGTAATTCAAAGGGAATAAGATCAATCAGTTTATACCTGGCTTAAAGAATATTGATAATCCAAAATCGATTGTCTTGAGAAGTGAATCCTCCTGCTGATTGACAAAAAGAAAATTCTCAGGTTTAAGGTCTCTATGCATAACCCCCAAAGAATGGCAGGCTTCCACAACCCCGACTATAGTCCTCGTAAGTGCAGCTGCCTTTCTTTCTGAATAATGTCCACGCTGAATAATTCTATCAAAAAGCTCTCCACCAGCACATAATTCCATAACAACATGAACTGCCATTGCATCCTCGTAAGCCCCTTTTATTGATATAACATTTGGATGCCCTGCCAAGTGGTGCATTATTTGAATTTCTCTTCTTACATCCTCTACCTCCTCATCAGTTAACAACTTTCTCTTTGCAATCGATTTGCAAGCATACTCTTTTCCAGTTGACTTCTCCACACAAAGGACAGTCGTCCCGAATTGCCCTTGTCCCAGTTTCCTCCCCAGGCTATAATATTCCTTGAAATTACCAGTCCTTGTTTGTAACACTGAATCAGTCCTAAGCCCTGCACTCGACACCCTCATCATACGAGGGGACTTGGGTTTTGTTGGTTCCTCAGGTTTTGTTTCTGGTTTAGGCTCTGGTTTAGTCTCTTGTTTGTTCTCTGGTTTCGGCATTGTCATATGTTCTGGAGGATTGTTTTGGACTGGTAGCGGCGATTCAGGTTCTTTAGATGCTATCTCACTCGCAGTTTCACCATTAGTATGAGAAACTGAGTCATCAGGTGATCGGGACCGCCACATTGCAGCAGAAACCGATTGGAAAAATCCATTTTTGGAAATGCTTGGTCCTACACAAGTATTGCCCATCTACTCTTACAATTGAATTTCTTCCTCAAAATACTATTACTAATTTTAACATCAATATCCAACACCAATAGATAGGCCAATCCAACACATAAAGTTCTGATCCTCCTAATCAAACCAACATCCCTATATTCTCCTCTAGACTTTGAGGTAAAAATTTTATATCAAAATCAAAACTTGAACCATACCTTACAAAATGAGCAAAAAATTGATACCAAAAGAGAAGAACTTATTACTTACCTCCATACTTAAAAAAAAATCCATAAAAATAACACTAATGATTACAACAATTATGAAACAAAATTGAAGAAGCAAGTTTAAGAACCTGAGTTATTGAAAGAAGGAAAGAAAAAAAAAAGTCAACACAATTATTGATTACCAACTAATAAATCCATCACCTATGCTACAACAGAAAAATACATACAAATCCGTGGATCTCAAATTCAGTAAGCGAAAGCTTGGCACCGTAAAATAGAAACCATAGAAAGCTGAAAAAGTGAACAATTCGACTTGAAATGCTTAGGAAAAAAAGAAGAAAAATTCAACAAGGAAGAAACAGTGAAACCCAAATGGAGAAAGTTAAGAGAAGGTTTGGGATATGGTTTACCAGGTCTTGGGATTTGGCTTAATAGTAGAAAAAAAGAAGAAAATGAGGTTACACCTGGTGTTCAACTATCTATGGCTGTCCAATGTATTAAAACAGGGTGCATAATTTTGACTTTGCTTATATCTTATCTGAACTTTATATTGTATAAAAAATTAGAAAGAGGCCAATACGTGTGTTTGGACATAATCCCAGGAAAACGCGTTTGACAGATGTTTGTCTGAATGGCCGGGCTTTGGTTTTTTTTTTTTTTTTCAATTCCGGGGATTTCGGTTTAGTCCGCTTTAGGGTCATTATTTTAAGGAAAGCTTAAAGAAAAAGGTTTTCTTTTTATTTTTTAAGTGTTGGAGTCTGGATAACTGTCCCACAAAAATGTTGACTTTGACACGATAATCTTCCATTTTCCCTCGCTTGGCTTTCGAGATAGTAATTTTTTTATTTTTAAAATTATAAATTAATAAACTTTTATATTTAATAAGTTTTAAAAATAATTGTTTTGAATTATAAAAATTTGGAAAGATCGAAGGTATTTTTGTTATGATGATTATACGCCTTATTAAGAGGATGGACCGATTTATAAAACAAGGAAACAATTGGAAGGCGTTGAACGATTCGAAGAAGGTGTTCTGAATTTTTTTTTTCTTTTGTTTTTTTTTTTTAAATTGTCTATTAAATAACTTTTGTAAGAATTTGAATCTAATTAAAATGTTAGTATCATCTTTATTTGTCTTTTTTACTTTTCATATTTTATTTTTTAATTAAATAAATTTTATAAAAAATTAATAACTAAAGATGACAAAACAAAAAAATTTTGACTCGAACCGGTGCTCAGGTACTACACGTAATTTTGTTTTAACAGTAGTTGAGGAATGAATGGATTTGAAATTTTTATAAAAGGGAATGAACGAAAAATTTTAATTTTAAAGAAAATGAATAACAAGATTTTTGAAAAGCAAAAAAATAAAAAAAAAATTTATACATGGCCAACTTTTATTTTTCATTTTTATATTTTGATATATGTTGAAATTTTCACATTTTAATTTTTTTGATTTTTTTATAATTTTATAATTTTTACAATTTTTAAAAAAATTAGGATTTTTAATATTCTTTAATTTCTTTAAATTTTCATATTTTTAAATTTTTTTGGTTTTTAATAATTTTTACAATTTTTTATTTAAATTTTCAATTTTATAATTTTTCATTTTTTCTAACTTTTTTTATTTTTTTAAATTTTCATATTTAGTGAATTTTTGGGAATTTTTTTCAATTCTTTTTTTTAGAAATTGTTTTTGAATTTTTTAAATTTGTTAATTTTTCTTTTTTTTCAGTTTTTTTGGAATTAAAATATTGATTTTTTAAGATTTTTGAGTTTTTTAATTTTTACTATTTTTGGAGATTTTTTATTTTTTTATTGTTAACATTTTTAAAATTTTAAGAATATTGTTTTGATTTTTTGGATTTTTCAAAAGCTTTTATAATTTTTTTTCTATTTTTTAAAATTTTTTTAGAATTTTTCAAAATTTTTTCTATCGTATATTAATGTGACAATGATGATTTCACTATGACTAGATACTTTCCACACATGTCATTATTTAATTGGATATTGATATCATATCATAAATTTAATTAATAATATTCGTTTGAAATATCAAAATATACAATAAAATTAAAGTTCATGTACTTAATTACAAACTTATTTTTTAAAATACTAAATTGATAAAAAAAATATAATATTTAAAATATTTTTATATTTAACCATTTTCTCTTAAATATCACCTTAAGTAATGCTACTAAAACGACTTGTCAACATTTCCCTTATTAGAATAGTGTCAATTTTCTTTTTCTTTTTCTTTTTCTTAAAAAACTTATATTTGACTAATTTTATTATCATCTATTAACTATATCGTCTAGTATCATTTTTTATTTTTAAATTTATTTTTGTTGTATTTTATTTTGTCTTCAAAATTTTCAAGATAAAACATTTTTGGTATGCAATATTATTATATATAGGAAACAAACACTTAAATTGTTGCAATATAATTATTGGATTTATATTTTATGCATTTTAATGTATAATGCTATACATTATCAATAAATTATGCAATAATGTTTTATTAAAAGGTTAATTTTAAATATATTTTAAAATTAAATGTATTTATGTTTTAGAATTTTAAAAATAAAATTTTTGTGAGATGATATTATGTAATTTAATGATAGTGTATAAAATTTATACATTGATAATGTATCAATTATAATTTTATAATAATTTAATACATAAAATCAAATTTAAGATTTTAAAAATATATTTTATTTATTAAATAAAAGTATTTTGTTTAAGTAATATTATATTCATAATTAAATTGTTTTATTTAATACTATTAATTGTAGCATTAAATATTATTAATTACTCATATTAGAGTTAGCTATCATTAAATTTATATATGATAATTTCAAACACGACATATTCATATGATATGAAAATGATACTAAAAAAATATTATATGTATTTTAAAAATTCATATTTCATATTTATTCGTGTTAATACGAATTTTGATAATTACAATTCGTGTTTATATGTGTTGACATGTTTAAACACGTATGAAACACGAAAAATACGTTTAGATGAATATGTCACATGAATATACGTTTAACACGTGACTTGACATGAAAAATATATTTAAGTTAATCTTGTTATACGAATACACGTTTAACATATTTTTTATATTTATGTTAATTTAATATAAACATATAAATATTATTTTAATTTTTAATCTTTTAATTATAATATTTAATTAGCTTTTCAATACCATATAAAAAGATTATTTTAAATATTTAATTATGATATTCATCTAATAATTATTATAAAATTATTTATTATTATTAATGATATAAATAAAATATAAATATCAATACTAATTCTATATATTATTATTTTATTCTTTGATTTTTAGTAATTCACCATCTTGAATTTGATACTAAAAACTATTATACTTATGTAATATATATTAAAATCTAAATATTATTAAATACATATTAAATGGGTATCAAATTTTTTTAGTCCTTTTAATATGCAAGTAATATGCAACTTTATTAAATTATAAATGATAAATAATTTATAGTTATTTATTATTTTAGTCGTATTTTTATATATATTCGTGTTAATTATGTTGTTCATGTATATTCATATTATTCGTGCTTATTTATATTATGTTTAAATAGATTAATTGTACACATGTTAATTGTGTTGTGTCGTACATAACACGTATAATAAATATATCATGTTTTAGGATTTAAACACTTTTATAATTCGTGTTGTATTTATATTTCAATAATTCAGATCATTACATGTGTCAAATACAACACAAGACATAACACAAAAATATGAATTACCATATTTAATTAAATTATATAATTAGAAAATAATAATTAAAATAATATTAAAAGTAATAAGTATATAAAAACTTAAATAATAATGAAACTTATGATATTAAATTTTTATTACACAATATTAATATGAAGTAATATAATTTTAAATTATATTCCATAAAAATACGAATTAATCTAATTCTAAATTATATTATTTTTAGCCGAAAATCAAAGAATTCTTCTAAATTTTATTGAACAAAAAAATTTAATTTAGTCTTATATTAAATTATTTCACACATCATAAAATATTTTAATAATGTTATGGGGTGATGTTATTAAATTATTAGATATTAAATATTCACTTTTAATTATTTTTATTTTTTAACTTGAAGATCATAAAACGTTGCCGTGTTATGGACCAGGCATAAAAAACAGTCAAATGGCTGGAGAGCAGAGAGAAAAGGGAGAGAATTGGGAAGAGAAATTAGGACGGAGAATGGAAAAGCTGATTTGAAGAAGAAGCCGGTGCTTAGTAGAAAAAAGTAAAAGAAGGGGAAAAAAAAATCCCAGTCTCAAGGTAAGTAGCCAAAGCACATTTGCACTTGGTTCTTTTCTTTGGGTTTTAGTTAAGTCTCAGACTATAAGACTGGAAATTGAAGTATGAGTTAATGGTAGAAAATTTGCCCGGCTTGCTTTTGTAATTTTCGACTTTTCTTTGATTTGCTGGATTGGGCTTTTGAAGCTAGTTGTATTGCTGTTTCTGCAGTTTGGGAATAAATAATAATTCATAAAATGACAGGACAAGTTAATACCCTTTTTCTTGAACAATGGTTGAGAACTAATAGTGGTGGTATAATTAGCCACGCAGTTTCTGGACATTCTTTTTCTTCGTCTCCATCTTCGTCTTCGTCTGCTCGTGCCATTATTCAAGCGTGGTCTGAGCTTAGAGATTCACTTCAGAACCAAACATTTCATCCCCATATCCTCCAATCTTTGAAAACCCTCCTTAACTCGCAAGCCTCTATTCACGTAGCTGATCCTCAAGCCAAACTTCTTTTATCTCTACTCTCGTCTCAAAGTTTCCATCTTCCTTCCGAATCGTATCCTATCTTGCTCAGGCTTCTTTATATTTGGGTCAGGAAGTCTGTCAGGCCGTCTACTGCGCTGATTGATTCAACCGTGGATGTGCTTTCTCGTGTATTTGCTACCGAATTTGGTTTGAAGAAAAGCCCTTCTTTTCTTGCCGGGGGTATTCTTATTTTTGGGGCCATTTCATTCGTGCCTTCTGTGTCTGAAAGTTCGAAAATAGTGTGCTTGGAGTTGCTTTGTAGGCTGTTGGAAGAAGATTACCAATTGGTTAAATCATGGGAAGAAACTATCCCGGATGTGCTGGCAGGGGTTGGATATGCATTGTCTTCTTCTCTGGATGTTCATTTTGTTAGAGTTTTGGATTCTTTGTTGGGAATTTGGGGAAAGGGAGATGGGCCTTCTAGTTTGGTTCATACTGCACTCATGATCCTGCATTTGGTTGAATGGGTTGTATCTGGTTACATAAAATCACGTTCTTTTAAGAAAATTGAAGCCTTTTCACAGGGGACTTTAGGGACTTTGAAGGCAAACTATGCTCCGTTTGCTCTTGTTATGGTTGCAGGTGGAGTATTGAGAGCTAGTAGACATTCACCTAATGTCCAGGGGCTAGAGATTGTTTCCACACTAAGGATTTCTGCGGAAAATCGAATAGTCTTTATAGCACAAAACTTGATTTCTAAAACTAAAGGATTTATAAACTCTGACAGTGATCCTGCTAGCAGTCTTCTTCTACAATGTATATCATTAGCCTTGGCTCGAAGTGGTGCAGTGTCTTTCAGTGCCCCTGTGCTTGTGTGCCTTGCTTCAGCCTTGTTAAGGGAAATCTTTCCCTTAAGGCACTTATTTAAGCAGATTCTTCAGTTCCTCCATAGCAGTGGGTCTGAGTTGGAGCTCAATGAGATTAAGAAACATCTAGACAGTGTTCTTTTTAAGGAAGCAGGTGCCATAACTGGTGTTTTCTGCAATCAGTATGTCTCAGCAGATGAGGAGAGCAAAAGTTTAGTGGAGAGTCTTTTATGGGACTACTGTCAGGATGTCTATTCTGGTCACCGGCAGGTTGCTTTGTTGCTTCGTGAAAGAAAGGATGTGCTGCTAGTCGATTTGGAGAAAATTGCAGAATCTGCTTTTCTTATGGTTGTGGTTTTTGCTTTGGCTGTAACAAAGCAGAGACTAAACTCAAACTTTTCTCAAGAAATGCAGCGGGAGAAATCAGTCCAGATATTAGTTTCTTTCTCTTGCTTAGAGTATTTTCGACGTATGCGTTTGCCAGAATATATGGATACAATTCGAAGAGTTGTAGCATGTGTTCAGGAAAATAAGTCTGCCTGCACCTCTTTTGTGGAATCGATGCCTACCTATGTTGACTTGACCACTTGGCAAGGTGATTTTTTTTTTTTTTTGGCCATGGCAAGCTGATGTTTATGTACCGTTTTAATTGAGTGTTAGCTTACCATGTTCAAGTAATTCTGCAGTTTAAAGTTCCCAGATGAGTTTTCATATTGTTCCATAAATTGTTAGTTTTATGGGGATTTGAATTTCATCTTGTAGACTTTTCCTCCAAGAAGAAAATGGAGTATGAATGGTCCAAGGATGAGGTGCAAACTGCTCGCATTTTGTTTTATGTGCGGGTTATTCCAACTTGCATTGATCGATTGCCTGCTCTTGTGTTTAGGGGAGTCGTTGCTCCAACTATGTTTCTGTATCCTAAAATACATGATTAATTTACTTGGAAAACTTATAATTCATATTAAATGATATAAACTATGGTTTCTGATAACAAAGGCGATTAGATATATGGGACATCCAAATGGAAAAGTAGCTCGAGCCTCACATTCTATGTTTGTAGCATTCATATCTTCAGGAAAAGACTCTGAGGATGAAAGAGTGTTGCTGAAGGAGCAACTTGTTTTTTATTACATGCAAAGATCTTTAGAGGTACATAAGATATACTGAAACTGACAGTGGAATACCTGGAACATGTTATCAAACTTGTGTGAGACTAAATTAATCTTTTTATTATGATTAATATAGGGATATCCTGGCATTACTCCTTTTGAGGGCATGGCTTCAGGAGTTGCAGCGTTGGTTCGACATCTTCCTGCTGGTAGCCCATCAACATTTTATTGTATTCATTGTCTTGTTGATAGAGCTAATAAGCTCTGCAGTGATGCTTTCACTTTAAATGCTGATGAGTGGAAGAACTGGCAAGGAGGGCCGGAGCCTTGTAAAAAAATCCTAGAGTTGCTTTTGCGTCTTATTTCCCTTGTTGATATACAGGTAAATACTTACATATGCTAATTCATTTTTATTGGAGCATAAGAAACAATTTTTCAGCATTCTTTTCTTTTATCCTTTTTTCCCTTTATTTTCCCTTAAAGGGTTTGACTAGTTAAAATCAGGGCTTTTCTGTTGCTTTTATGCCACTTCATTTGAAATAAATGTAACAATGTTGTTAAGAATTAAGCAGGAAATGTATATTCTAGAAATGTTTACCCTGATATATTGCAATTTACAACCTGAAGTGCTCGGACTAGATGCTGTTGGAAAAATATTTGCTTATTTGTATATGATGACTCTGTTGTTTGCCAGATAATCTTAGCATTTACTCATTTGTGTAGGTACTACCAGCTCTAATGAAGTCAGTGGCACAGCTAATTGTCCAACTACCAAAAACTGGCCAGAACATGGTTCTTAATGACTTATATGCCCAGGTTGCTGAATCTGATGATGTCACACGCAAACCCACGTTAGTTTCATGGCTGCAGTCATTATCTTATCTTTGTTCTCAAGCTAAAAGTGAGGTGGTGATCTCCAAAGGGAGGGAAAGCGAAGAAAACTCTGCTTCTTCTGTGACTATAGAACCATCAAACTGGGATAGACCAAATTCACGTCTGTGAGACATCTAGGTGCAGTTCTTCCTAAATGGCACAGCTAATTCTCCAATAGATGGCTAGAACATGCGTAGGTTGCCAAATCTGATGACATGCTTCTTCTGGGCCTACAGACCGATTATCTCAGAGACATCTAGTTGCAGTTCTTAATAAATGTTTCTTGTTCCTTATCTGTATCATGCTCTTAATGTTGTATTACTCTCTCTCTCTCTCTAAATATATATATATATATATATATATTTTCTTATTCATCTTGATATCGGAATAAATGGAACCACTTGTAATTATTACAATACTGCCTCTTCAAGTCAAATAGGCGGTTTGTATTTTGTACTCGCAGTGAAATAATGAATAGGGATATTCTTCATTTCTCTACGGTTTCTCCTTCAGTGTTACACACACATACTAGCTAGACCAATATATTTTCCAACAACCTTCATATTATATACCTGCATTGATATGCCAACCTCAGTGAGGCTTGAATTTAGGCTTTGACCTTTGGCATATATGAATTCATACGACTTTTCCTGCTGAGAGAGGATTCTATTCCTTTAATTCTTCTTTTAGATCCGTGCATCCTATTTTTGGTGATATTTAGCATGCTCTGAATTTCTAACTGGTTTGCCTTTGTAGTTATTTGGATGATTTATCTGAGGGAAGAGTATTGTCAAAGTGGCTTGTTCTTCTTTGTATTTGAAAAACACAGTGGCTTGTTCTTATATCATGTACTATAATATTTTTAATTGCATTTCGACAAGGTTTGGAGTCGTGGCTGATCGCTGAACCTTGAACCTTCGTTACTAGCAGCAATCACTAGGGTTGTACCTTTTTGTAACATGTAGTAGACTCTAAAGAATTGCAGCGCTTTGACGCTCATTATAATGGAGCTTTTTGAATCGTACACCAAGGTATCACCCGCTTTCTGCTACCTCGTCTTTACCTTTATTGTGCAGATTCCGACTGAACACCACCATTAACTGTCAGAATCGACATTTTATGTCAAAAAAGTACCAAGGACATTTTCAAATCACACCATATCTCTTTATTCTATAAACTTGATTGTTTGTTGTCCTTTATCACCGCTACTTGCATGATTTAGAACGGAAGAGGCAACTTTGTTTGTGTAGTTATGCCCAAAGACAAAGTATGTGGTTGTTTTCTTCAAGAATCTCGTCATCTTTAGCAGCAGACTTATTGGGTTAAGGGCAGATGATCAAGCCGTCTTAAATTAAAATCCTAAATTATCATAAAATCTATTTTCCGAGTTGAAATCCAAGATTCAAATGTCAAAATAATTTCCTCAAATGTGTATGTCATGAAAGGACTTTCGGAGACAATCACATTATCAGTTGATGTGATTTCCATAGCCTGGTATGCAGTGTCCATGTATTTACAGAAAAGCTTGAAATGCATGATACGTTAATTCAGTATATTTATCAATTTGACATTAGTGTGTATCCGGCAATTTCCATCTTCTGGTCAAAAACAACAAAAGGAATGGGAACAGAATGACTATAATAACACCCAAATATAAGAAATGGAATCCAGAGTAGACAAGCAAAGAACACAGTGACAATCATTTTTCAGCAGCAAATGGGGCAAACAATCAAACCATTCTCATTGCACTGTAGGCATTTACTCCACAACCCATCATCGGCAAGGATCCTATGACTGCCATTGCACTTGAAACAAAGCACGAACCTAACTCCAGCACAGCCATCACAAGGGCCATTGGAACTATCAACAGGAATGCCTTGAAAGAGCACCTTGAGCTTCCCTTGCTCATGCAAAGTTAGAACCTCTTCAGCTCCACCGATATATCTCCCTTTTATGAAAAGCCTTGGAGGCATTATTTTTCCATCCAATATCCTCCACAACTCTTCCCTGTATTCTGTATGCATCGATATATCTCTTTCGTAGAAAGTCACCCCGAAACTCTCCATGAGAAACCGAACCCTGTTACAATCCTCGAAAGTCTTTCTTATTCCTTTGAGAGTCGTTGTGTAAAGAATGACTGATCCATCACCTCCAGCGGGACACTTCTCTTCATAGCCTAATAGAGGATCACTATCACCATCACCATTCTCATCAATCCGGCAAGTTTTATGTGGGGCCTCGTTTTCAAGGCTCTCTTCCTCAATTCTTGCCTTCTTCTCTGCTCCTTCTCTGCTCTTCTCAATATTCTCTTGCTCAATTCTTACTTTCCTCTCTTCTTCACTCATCTTGATATGCTCCTTCACAGCTTGTTCAAAGGCAGCCAGTAGGTTAGGGTCAAAGAGAGTGCAAGAATTCAAATCCGGCTTCCGAAAAGACGAGACATCAATCTCTGATAACGGTGCGTTCTGCCTACAATTCCTTGTCTCAAATTTCATGGGAACATTCACATTCTCTTTCTCAAAAACTGCATCAATATTTGCCTTCATTGCTGGACTGATATTCTCTTTGTCCTCAACTTCTTCATTCAAATCCATTTCTTCCTCGTCGCTGTCAGCTTCAAGATCTTGCATTAGCTCTGCTACATCAATGATTTCAGGCTGTACTTCAACTGTTACACAGCTCTCTTTAATCTCTCCTTGCTCTGATTCTTTGCAGAACAACTTGGGTTGTTCATTGGGATTTGGTGCCTTCGGACAAGAATCAATAAACCCATCTATTGCAAATACTTGAAGAACTCGATCTGGCTTTAGGTAACCAACTGGCTTGATTGATTTCAGCTTCTTCACGAGCTTTCCTTTCACACTCTTCATTCTTTTTCCTTTTATTTTTCACCCCAGTAAAGGTCCAGATGTTAAATTTGATCTGGTTTGTGGAACAACGCAAGAAAAATAACAATAAAATTGGTGATTTGGTGTTCAACTCTAACAGGTGAAAATGATTAAACCAAAGAATGAGCTGAGGTTCAACGGCTAGAAAGCTGATATTTTAAAATTTCAAAAATGGAAATTGTTCAATTAGGCAAAAATCCAATGCAGACAATAGCAAAAAGTTTCTTCCGGATAAGTTAACTGAACCATCAAATGAATGCCACGTGGAGAGTTGATTTCAAAAAATATCTAAAATGGACACGTGGGAGATAAAGAGAGGCGAGTTTAGTTGAAATTATAATATTTTGTAAAGCAGAAATGAGGAAGCGGGTAACGGTCATACTTTCCTTTAAAGGGCCCAACAACTGCTCGAGGATATGTTTCATTTTTTCATTAGCTTTCCCTCCGTTCTTTTTAGGTTTTTTCCCCCCTTTTACAATAAGTTGACATTTCTCCTTTTTATTATTATTTTTCTCTTTTAATAAAATTTTTCATTTTTTGGTCTTATTTATTTATTTATCATTATCTCGTGTCATTTATAAATAGTCGAATTAACCCAACTTCAAACAAAATTATGTTAACGGTGTGAAATTATAAATTTTATTGCTACAAAATATTTCTCAAAATTTTAGGTAAATTAAAATAAATAAAAGTTCTAATAAAAAAATTATTAATTAAATGTGATTTTGAGTGATATGATTATTTTATATAAATTAGAAAAAGAGATTATATGTTAGATAAAATAATGATATGATAAATATTAACCAATAAAAAATATGACACATGTTATGATTGTATTGATTAATTTCTTATCACGTCAGTACATTATTATTAGAGTTGATCTCTTGGGAAAATAACATGACAAAATGAAAATTAAATATCAAATCATGAATTTTTTCTAAGTACTAAATCATAAAAAGTAATATAGTTTAAGAATCAAATTAGATATTATCCCAAAATTAAATTATACAATTTGACCTTTATTAAATATATATACTAATTGAGTGCCTCACGCTTGGTTACAGGAATTATTTTATTATAATAAATTCACTAATAATTTATTAGTGCAAAGTAAATTATAATAATGTTTCATTTTATCTTATAAACTATTTAATAAATTCTTATTACATCCAAGAACAGATGAGAGCAAGTAAGTCTAAAAAGGTAACTCCCAAAGCGCGTCTTGAAGCTAATATAATACTTTGTCCAGTTCTTCATTCGTGGTGCTAGTTGATGAGCATCAGTGCAAGGGATCATCACCAATAAGCATACACCTTCAACAACACAAAAAAAAAAAAAAAAGCAAAGTGATGCCAATAACCTAAAAAAAATAAAAGAAAAAATTAGATTTTTTTTAATTTATAAAATGATGGTAAATTAAGATATTTAAGAAGAAGAAGAAGAAGAAGAAGAAGAAGAAGCTTTTCCTTGGTTTGGGGAGTAGTTGCTTCTTCACTCTTCTTCAGTTGGTTTTGATATCAGATTGTAAAAATAGTAACGGTTTAAAATGGATTTGATTTGATTTATTTTATATTGTATAAAATTATGAATTTTAAAAATATAATAGAATTTAAATGATTCAATTCGAATTGATTTATCGATTTTAAAATTTTATTTTTATTTATTTATATATAATTTTTAATATATTTAAAAATATATAAGTATAAAATAATTATTTTTATTTTTATAAAAAATATATAAATATATATAATTTAATTCATTTTTTAATTTTTAATTTTTTGATTCAAAATTTAATTTAAATATAATATATATAATATTTGAATTTAACTCAAACCGAATATAAAAACAAATTCAAAACAAATCAAACACCTTAATTTAAAATAATTTTTAATTTTTTCGATTTTTTTTTTCCATTCCTCCCTAATTGCATAAAGAAAGTTGTGCAAGCTGTCCTTTTCGTTTCGAACAAACACGAAATGTAATTGTTATACAACTTAATTCACCAAACGTCAACTTACTCCTGTAAAATCCCAAAAAAATAGATTTATTTGGCTGAGTGGAGAACAAAATGTGCTGTCATTATCAATCAACGATCGTGATTTTACCTTACAGACAAACAATTCCATGTGCAATACGCGGATTGCCCGGCTTTTTTGCACTACCTAATCATGGCCCTATACTCCCATCCGTTTATTTAATCCTTTAAAATCAGCCGTTCAATAATTAATATATCGTTTTCCTTTTTTGGTGATTAAGTTGCTTCCCACTAAATACTCAATTATACTCGTTGAATGATTGTTTTTTAGTTGATTCGATTGATTAAAATTTAATTTATTTAATTAAAATAATTTTAAGTTTGAATCATATCGATAATTATTTATTATAATTATTTTAATAATTATTTTAAATTATCTTAAATTATCAAATATAATATATTTATTTTAATATTTAAATAATTTATTTATTTTATATTTTTCTTAAAAAAAATACTCATTGAATGGGACCCGCAATATAATTTCAATTTAATATAAATTAAATTAATCACTTATTTTGACTTTAATTTCCACGCCTTATTTCTTATTTATTTCTTTTCACATCCTTTTCTTTTTTCCTTCTTTCTAGTGGCATTTTTTTCCTCTCATATGAATTACTATTCCATTAAAATATGCTTTTTTTTTCAAACTAAAATTATCCAATATGTTAAAAAAAACTATTTAGGATCAAAGATTCAAAATATGATTAATTTATTAATTTTAATAAATTAATATATGATTAATGAAACAAACGATAATCTTTTATAATTATTTGTGAAATTAAAAATTTTGCCATTAATGTATAAAATAATTTTGCTATAAACTATCCCTTCAAGAACATATGTTAAATTTAGCACATATAAATAAAGATTATATTAATATTATTTAGTAAAATATCTCTTGCAAATAAAATGGTAACTTTTAAATTTGAGTTAGGGTTAATAGTATCTCTAGTTTCTAAATTTTTTTTGAAATTTTTTTTAAACTTAAAAAAATTCTAATAGGCTCCTTAATTACCCAAAGTTATTTTATTTTGATTTTTTTGTCTATAAAATCATCTAAATTGATAACAAATGCTAATTGACACAAAGTGATAATGTCAACTAATATCTCACATGGTAGATAAAAAATCAAAATAAAATTCTCTCAAATTTTAAGAACAAAAAATGAAATTACCTCAAAATTTTATATTATATATATTTTATAAATATTAAATTTAAAATTAAAATTTTATATTCTTGTTCTAATATAATTTATTAGTTATTTTTGTTTTTAATAGAAAATAATTTTTTAAAAAAATTCAAAATTCACATTTTTTAAAATATTCAATATCATTTTAAAAACAAAAAATTATTTTCTATTAAAAATATTTTTAATCATAAATCATAATAAAAATATTATTTTCTATCCATAAAATATATTTTTTAAAATATTAAATATATTTTATTTTCCTTTTTCAAATTTATTTTATAAAAATAACTAAAGAAAAAGATAAAAATAATTCAAGAAAAAATTGCTTGTTATATATTTCAAATAAATTTTATAAATATTATAATTTAAAATATTTTTAAAATTTTATTATGATATGATTTATCAATAAAATAATATTTTTAATAGAAAATAGATTTTCAAAAAATTAAAATTAAGTTAAAATTTTGAAAATAATTTTATTAGAATTATATATCATTTTAAAAAATTAAGTAAAAATTTTTATAATGATTTAAGAAATTAAATAAAACCTATATCTAATGTTAAAATATTATGTAAAAATTTTTAGATTATTTTCAAAAATAGATTTATTAATCTATTCAAAAACATAAAAATTTTATATTCATATAAAATAAAAAAATATAATTTAAAAGCAAATTTTATTTTTTCTTTTTTATAAAATGTATTTTATAAAATATATTTGAAGAGAAAAAATAAAAATATTTATTATTTTAAAAAATAAAGTTTTGGGATAGAAAATAATATGTTTTGTTATGACTTATGAGTAAAATAATATTTTTAATAATTTTTTTCTTTTAAAATGTATTACATTTTTAAAAAAGGAAATTTGAAATTTTAACTTAATTTTAAGTTTTGAATATCTATTTTTATTTAAAACAAAAATCTATCTAATAAGTTATATTATAACAAAAAAATGCAAATATAATTAAAAATTAATATTTTTATAAGATATGTATAAAATATATAAAATTTTGAGATAGTTTCATATTTGCTCCTTAAATTTTGAAAAAAATTTATTTTGATCTCTTATCTATCACGTAAAATTTTAGCTAACATCATTACATGGTGTTAGTTAATTTTTATTGTCAATTTAGACTATTCCATAAATGAAAGGATCAAAATGAGACAATTTTAGATAATTAATAATTCGAATAGAACTTTTAAAATTAAAAAAATATAAAATTTAGATTAAAATTTAAGGATTACAAGTATTGTTAACTCTTTAAAGCTACAATAGTACAATGCACACTAATGAAAATAAAAGAAAAATTTTATATGTAATCAACTTTTTACTTTTATAATAAAAAAACTAAATACACTCATATTTAAAACATACTACAGGAAAAATGACTCATCACGGCCAATTAAATCACAAAAGCATATACATTCATACACTTAGTAGCTAAAATCACAATCTCACGTGTTTTCTCTCATTTCACACACCCACGCAACCTAAGCAGCAATCTACACTAAAATCACAATCTCACCGAACTATCATCTCCATTTCGATGCAAGGTTCGGACGAAATTGACAGACGAAATCAACAGTAGAGGTGATTTCTTTTCTTTCTATGAATTTGAATATTTGTTTGAATCAAATCGAAATTGGGTTAGAATGTAAAAAATGGTGTGGTTGTGATAGACGAAAATACATATCTAATCAGCCTCAAATCATATCACATTTATTTTTTACTTTTTCAAAAATATTAGTTTTGTTTTTTTATCCAAAATGTGTTTTTGGATAAAATTTAACACAAAGTAAACACGGAGTAAATTTCACTCCAAATCATTGAACTTTAATCACTTTAAAATTCAATTTATCCCATTCAAATGACTAAAATTAGTTAAAAACCCTAATTTTTCAATTGGCAAGTTTCCCCTTGCCCTATATACCTTTCATGCAGTTTTTTTTCGGGTATTTTTTTTAGATCAGAATGTATAGAGAGAGGTGATTAGTAGTAGAGAAAAAAAAATTGACAGTAGTTTAATTGAGGTGGGAAGACGTTCTGATTAATGGATTTGGGACTTAATTGCGTGAATCCACAACTACTAACCCGGAGCTTTGCCCTCAAGTAAAATGATACGAAAATGATAGGAAAAAAAAAGAAAGAAGAAACTGTTGTTTTACAAGGTCTGGAATCAGGCATAGAGATACGAAAATCAAAGAGAGGCGCAACGGAGAGAGGAAAAAAAAATAGAAAATATGAAGGGATAAGCGAAAGTTTAGCGAGATGTTGATGTGGCAGCTTACTTGACAATCACATCATTTTAAAATTTAGATATTTAACAAGCATGTGATTTGAATAAGATGAATTAAAATTTAATTACCTATTTGGAAAAAGGGTAAAATGTCAGTGAGTACTCGAAAAATATTAATAACAGTGGAAGTCAAAGTCAACAAAATGGAAACGCGGTTACAGGTCTACCAAGAGCCGACAAGGATGGTTGACCACCCGCCCCCGAAGACCGTACATTCTATATTTCCTATCAAATTCTTGCTTCGGATATACCGAACCTTATGCCCTTTACCCTAACCTAACAGGTTCGGTCCTCCCGGCCTATATATGTAAAGGGCCCATCTTCTATCCTCTTTGCTCTCGATCTTTCACAAAATTCAACAGATAAGTAGCAGGATTCTGGATTACGCTGCTCAAAGGTTTTTATTAAATTGAATCTCTCAATTTTCATCTGTTTTTCCTTCTTTTTTTTTGTTTTATCTGTTGTTTGGTCGGTAAGAAAGTGAAAGAAAAGTAGTGGAAAAGGAATTGAATTTTTTTATTGGTATTAAAGTATTAATGAAATTAGTTTACAGATATGAGTAGTGAGTATTTCTTGCCATCCATTTTCTCGGTAAACAAACGGAAATGTGATCTTAAAGATCTTTACATGATTCTGTTAATGCAATGTCATTTATTGTCTTGATTAGATAGATAATCACTGATAAGGATGATTTGAATTATAATTTTAATTTGAAGTTATGATTGTTTTAATTTTATGTTCTAATAAAGAACGGATTATGGAGTCTTCTTTTTTTATCCTTGAATTACTTTTTTGGTGTTTTCATAAGTGATCTGATTGCTGAACTCGATAAATGTTCTTCAAAGTTTGGGAAACCTTTTGGCTGAAATGACTATCTGCTGATCTGTTATGAGAATCGAGAAACACAATTCTTGTTTCAATATCTTGAATGGCTTTAATCATAGGAAATCTGGATTTGTCATGAACTTTCTTTTTTCATTTTAATCATCTGTTCATTTGCTGATTTTGTTTGAGTTATTGTATATTTGCAGTATAGAATTAAAGGGATAAGTAAACGCGATTGATAGAATGGCTGTGGTTGTGGGAGGAAGGACAACATTGAACCCCAATGCCCCTCTGTTTATTCCTGCTGTTTATCGCCAAGTGGAGGATTTCTCGCCAGAATGGTGGCAACTGGTTACAACATCAGCATGGTACCGGGACTATTGGATCAGCCAGCACCAGGATGAGGATGGTTTCTATGACAATGCTGAGGATGACGTCTTTGATGGCAATGATATTGCCGATTTGCTTCCAGATATCTTTGACCTTGTTGCTGATGAAGATCTACCTGGCATGGATCTTCAGTTTGAAGAGTTCATCCAGTCTTGTGAAATGGAAAGCTCATCACCTCTTTTGCTGTCTAATGGTGGTACGAACAAGCTCTGTCTAATATCTTGAAAATGCTAAAATGCTTCCACTCTGGAAATAGAGAATTATGTGTGTTTTCTATTTCTAGGAATGTTAATAGATTTTCTTCAAAATACAAGAAAAATGTTAGTAGCTCATTGAACTTATATTTTATCACTTTATTGATTAAAATAGGATTTGAGACGGATGCGGAAACCTTGATGAAGAATCTGAGTTTGTTGCAATTAAGTCCCAAGTCTTCAGCTGAACCAGCAAAATATGCTGAGAAGCCAGCCAAGAATCTGAACCCTAAAAGAGGGCCCCGTTGCATCCAGCAACCCCGCTGAAAGGGTTTCTGTTAGCCATGCATGTTACAATTTGTCTAGCATCTAAGTAGCGTTTAACTGTAACATCTGTAAAGAGCAAGGGTATATAACTCTTGTATCATTTCTTGTTCGATCTCATATGTTTGCTTCTAGTTAACAAAAAATTTAAAAAAATTGTAAAATTTTAGAAAAAAATATAAAAATAGAGAGAATTATCTTTCATCTCATCCTATCTATTTATTTTGTGCAATGCATGCACGTATAAATGCAAAGGAAGCAGCAAAATGCTTGTTGAATTTCCGTTTAGGTCTACAAAAGACTTGCTTGTTTCAATGATATTCCTCCAGTAGATAAGTTGAAGTGATGAACAAGCAGAGCCAAGCAGGCATTGGGTTTTTTTTCAAATGATTTTACAGACAAAACGACCAGTACTATAACAAATCCACTTCAAGCAGAAACCTAAGAGAGGTAATCTGCACTTTCATCAAAATTTTTTCTTTTCTGGGGTTCAAGTTTATTTTGGTTGCCAATGGCATCAGATATCGCTTTGGGTAGCCAAAATCCAGGTCTTTCAAGAAATGGTGCACGGTCAAGAACTAAAGGTTCTCTCAAGGTTATCTCAATGCCATCATACGTCCATAATGCCAATGTTGCTTCACCCTTGAAACCCAAGGAGAACCAACCTAAGCCAGCTGCTGCAACGTCAATGCAGTTCACGTCCCAACTACTTCCAGACACTTTAACTTCCCTCTCTTCCCATTTGCCTAATTCAGAAGATCGGTCTTCACCGATGGGTGGCTGAAGAAGAAGAAAAAGTAAATGCAGTTATATTAGGGTTTTTGTTTTTTAATGCCATAACTGTAGTTATCAGACAAATGCAGTTAAAAAGGATCACATCATCTCCATAGCAATATATTTTCATTCGAAGAGAAAATTTTCTCTCAAGAAAAACTACAACAAGAGTAATTGCTTAAACTAGGTGAAGGTTTCCCAGTGATCCCATGCCGCAATCAAGCTCTTCTCCTGGACACAGTTAACCTCCCCAAAAAAACCTTCTCTAGTTTTAAAGTGAAATTTGCTTACTTCCGATTGCAGATAAACCAGACTATAGGAATCTAATCAGAATACTTCGCCCCACCTAGACCACAAAACACCCCTTGAAAGTTGCTCCTAACCTTGGTTTTCAAGCCTTCAGAAAACCATCCTTTTTATTTCTATTTAGTGATAAAAAAGAATTCATTAAAAGATCAGTAGTTGCAAAATATTTGCCCCCTTCTTTCCACAGAGTGAACAAGAAGAGATGTTGATGCAAACTACACGAGAAAAATAAAGATCGCTAGAAGCGAAAATGAAGACCAAATAATTTCTTTATCAATATTCTTCTAGTTCCATTTTACGATGATACTAGTTTTAGTTCTTTAAACACCATATAGAATGAGTTGATCTCCTTAAAAACAATTTAAGAGTATTTGTTTAGAAGGGTCCATGAGCAGAGTGAGAAACAACCATCAAGTGAAAGGTTGGAGATCCCCAAATTATTATAACAGCTAGATGCCAAAGAGAATGAAATAAAAGTAAACAACAATACTTGTGTAAAAAAGTTTCCATACAAAGTTTACCTGCAATCTGAAACCAACATGGTTCTTCCATATTTCATCAGCATTTTCCACCTTCCCCATGTGTAGAGAAACATTTGGTGATGCCCAAACTGTAACGTAAATTGTCTCCACTGAAGCATGATTAAGATCTAGTCTCATCAAGCCACCAACATGAACAGCCTGCCCCACCTGCAAATTTTCAAAAAATCTGAAGAATTAGACTTGACGATCTCCCTAATTAGTTGCATCACTGCCTTAAAATTTAACAAGCTTGAAACAACAAAATATGTAGAAATTTAATGATTGCAGACAACAGTCAATTGAAGCTAAGATAACATTGGAAAACAAAGAGGTGACGGCTAAAAATTCAAGGACATCCCAGTTCTTCCTATGGATAATACTTAACTTTTCAGCATAGATTGACAAACTGTTCAGCTAAGGGGGCGCAAGTGCATGTGATCCAAGTGTAAGGGCAAGAACTGTACAACCTATTATTATCTAGAGTTCACTTTTCCCCAGCTTCATTCTCTTACGAGCATGTAAATCAAAAGATGACATGATCATCACTGACCATGAAGTGACATATAAACAACTGGATTTGGCTCCTCAAACAGATTGCACTGTCCATCTTAAAAACTAACTTCATCGCAGTGTAAACAGGCATGATAGAAAGTTAGAAATTGCCAGATGAGGGAGAATGGAGACATTTCAGGTGCTTGGACATCTGAAGAGAATATTGACAAATGCCCTCATTAGAAGACGTGATTTGGCCTCTCAAACAGAATACAGTACCAATTATATAAAACTAATTTCATTCTGTTATAGACCAGTACAATAGAAAGTTAGAAATGACTTCATTTTGGAAAAGATAAGGCTAGTGCAAAATGAGGACAAAATGATGATTGATCTGAGGCACATTTCAGATCTGAGGCACATCTCAGGTCTTTGGACATGTGAGAGAATGTCAACAAATGCCCATATAAGATGTGATTTATTGGAGGGTACCCATGTGAAAAAGGGAGGGGGAAGACCAAAGACATGGGGGATGGGATACTAACGAAAAGGACCTTGCTTTTATTAATCTTAATACAGAACGGTGCAACATAGTCCATGCATATCTGACCTCATGTGGTGGAAAGAGATTCTGTTTGTTATTCCCGTTACCATAAACAAGCACAATGTTAAGAATAAAGATCCAGACACCAATTGACTGAAGTTAGAAGAAGATGCAGAGGAGGAAGAGGAGAAGGAATAGAATGAAATTACGCAAAAAAAAAAAAAATCAAGATCAATGAAATGAATCGGTGCATTATATGCTTCATGTACAATATTGTATACTCACATTATTGGTCAACTAATTACATGCAACAATCAGCTTTCACTCTAATAACTTCATTTCAGTTTAAAGCATCCTATTAGATTTTAATCAAATATTATACCTTCACAGCAATCACAAAATCATGGGAAAATGGGTGTAAATGTGCACAGTGTTGATAGTTAGAGGAAAAGCTTGCCTTCATCCTGTATGTCCGAGGTTTTAGCTCCTTTCGTATTTCAACCATCTTCTGCTCATCTCTATTTAATCTCATAGACATTAAATATGGATGTAGGAGCCCTGGAGTGTCATACATCTTTGCTTTGGCTGACAAAATCCCCCCAATTCGCAAAATCCCAAGAGTTGTCCCTGGAACAGGAGCTTCTGTAAGCCTGGTTATATTTGCCTTCTCCTTCTTTGCAAATGCATTAATTAGAGTAGACTTCCCTGCATTTTGAGCCCCAATAACCCACACATTTCCTCGAGGACCTGCTAATTCCTTTATGAATGCCAACAAATTCTTTACCCCCAAATCCTTGCGGGAACTAACCAAATATACCCCATTAAGTTTGGGTGCCCCTCCAGCCTTAGCTCGGTGCCTAACCCATCTATCTAACCTAGTAGGTGAGATTTGTGAGGGGAGGAGATCAACTTTTGTAGCCACAAGAACAAGTTTTGGCAACTTTTTGGAAAGTTTAGGGTCATTTTGGGCCTCTTCCAACAACTTGAACAATGGCTTCGCAGCCCGTTTCGGGAAGGAACCATCAAAATCAACACAATCAACAACTATAACAACAACAGTAGCGCTAGCATTCCCAGTAGGCTTTATCAACCTAGTTGCAATTAATCTATCAAAATCAAAATCAGGTATCAAGTTTTCAACAGATTGGTTTTTCACCTGCCCATAATTCCTCAAAGAATGACATCTTGCACACACAGTAACCTCCTCTTTCTCATCCTTTGCTTTCCTAGCCATCCTCTTCCTTTCTGCTTTCGACAATCTCTTCCTTTTACCCTTCTCCATTATCTCTTCTGTAATATTACCATACCCGACACTTGCTGGAGCAAAACCATCAAACTCTAGACCATCCTCTCCTTTTATAAACTTAGCTTCCCATTCATCAGAATCCCAATCAAACTCATCTCCCTCTACCAAATTATCTTCTTCTGCATCACTTCCCTCAAATTTTCCCTCAATGTCATCCACAAAATTCTCTTCCAACCCTTCAAGTTCATCCTCAAAATACTCCTCCATGTCATCTCCATCGTCATTCTGTACTACTTTCCTGTCAATAACCTTCCTTTTCTGATAGTACCCCGGAAGATTTGGATCTTTATCTTGCATAAAGACTCCACAACCGGGGCAAACAGCCCCATAATTCTCATCCTCGTCTCTTCCCTCACTCCAAACCGGATTCTTTCCCCTTCTACGTGTGATTTTACCATGAATTTTCTCTGTTGTTTGATTAAAAGATTGGTTCTTTACTGCTAAACTAATAGTTGAAACTCTGTTTTGTCTGTTTTTCTTGTCACCCAATCCTGTAAAAGCAGTGTTTTTGCAAACTGGATTTTATACTATGCATATGAAAGTAAATGAAAAAAAAAAAATTAAGGATATAGCAATTAGCAAAGCAAGTTACCAGGGAAAAAACAAAGTGTTGTTTCTGGGTTTTCCTGTATAGTTCTTGTGGTGTCGTGTAGCTTGGGGCTCAGCGTGACTATTCTTGTTGATAACAGAAATGCCATTTCTTCAAGATACAAAGACTTGAACTTTCGTTATCTATCCAATCCAAAAGCAAGAAGGAAAAATCTGTCATCAGAGCATAAGAGATACTGCTGTCATGTTGAGACTCTGGAGAGGATATACTGCTCTAAGGAATGGGCAAACTCAACAAACAATTGGGCCTTGTTCAAAAAGTCCATGGAACCCATCAAAGAGCTCAAAATCAGACCAAAAAATTGGGCCCAGTTCAAAGGGTCTAAAGAATCCTTTTTTTTTTTTCACAAATATTCACATTGACATATATGTGATGTTAAACAGGGGCGATAACGGTTGAATTTGTATAGACTATTTTTTTTTTTTGAATATTATATAATATTATAAAAATTTAAAATCTAATTTTAATCTAAATCGAATTTTTATTCAATTCGAATCGAATTTTATTAGTTCGGTTTGGTTTATCAATTTTTTATTTTTATATATTATTTTAATATAAAATTTTAATATATTTAAATAAATTTTGATTCAAAATGATTTTTTATAAAAATTTAAAAATATATATAAATTAAGAAAAATAAATAATTTGATTCAGTTTTGTTTTTTTTCGATTTTTACTTTTCGATCCGATATTCGATCTGAAAATCTGATTCGAATCTAATATATATATATATATATATATATATATTTAATATCTGAACTTTTAAATGAAAAAAAAATTGATTCGAAACGAATCAAACACTATAATTTCAAATTAATTTTTGAATTTTTTGATTTTTTTATCAAAAAATTTTGTAGAATTTTGAAATAGTTGATTAAATTGATGAATTTGGAGTTTTTTTTTTTTCTAGAAGATCATGAATAAAAAAAATGAAATAAAAATCGTGATTAAAAATAAAATATTAGTGCAAAATCATATATGTATGATGTAATTTAATTACAATATTAATGCTTAAAAAACAGGGATACCTATTGAAGGATGGAGATATAGTTGTACTTTTGCCAGGGAGCAGGGTTTGGTCATGTGCTGCTATCTCAAACAGACACGCAAAATTCGCAAAATATTCAACCCATGATTCCTAATTAAACCTAACAATTTCAGATATGATATAAAAAATTATATATATGTTTTGAAAAAATATGTTTCATATTTATTTGTATCAACATAATACAATTTATGTCATATAAGTTTTGACACCTTTAAACAAATGTAAGACACGAAAAAACGTTTAAAAAAAATGTCATATGAATATATGTTTAACACGTAACACGATACAAAATATATTTAAATAAAACATGTTACATGGATATACGTTTTATTTATGATACGATACGAGAACATGTTTAACATATTTTTTATATTTATTTTAATTTAATATAAACGTAATTATTTTAATTTTTAAAATTTTAATTATGATACTTAATTAGTTATTTAATATATCATATAAAAACTATTTTAAACATTTAATTATCATATTTATTTAATAATTCTTATAAAAATTATTTTTTATATTAATAATATAAATAATAATATTAGTATGATACATTGTTATTTTATTTTTTAATCTTTAATAGTTCATCATTTTGGATTTGATATTAAAAGCTAATATAATTATACATACATTTATATTAAATGTATCAATTAAAATATTATATATATGTATATATTATATACACATAATAGTAATGTATACGTTATAAATTATATATATATGATAAATGCTTATTTAATGGGTATCAATTTTTTATACTTTTTAAATATGCAAGTATTTTTTATATTAGTATTGTATCCATTGCATAAATAAATCTTAACATATTAAATATATATTATTCTTTGTAACTTTTTATAATAAGATTAAAAAAAATTTTTTTAAAATTAATTTAAATGATAATATACACTTAATTATTAATAACAAATAACATCCAATAACCAATAATATGGTTATTGATCAAGTAAAGTAAATCCAAATTACATGTATATACAATAATATATTATAATGATAATAAATAGCATTTATAATAATAAAAAACTATATGATAATCTTAATAAGATGAATCATAATATGCTACTATTTTAAATTATAAGAGCTAAAATAAGAAATTATATATTTGAAATTAAAAATAATACATATTTTAAATAATATGTATAATGATAAAAAAATTATATAATTTTTTTATATTACATGATACGATATTATTAAAATGTAACTTATGAATTATTACTATAAAAACACATCTTGATTACCTATTTTAAATACTTTATTCCAGATTACATAACAAAATATTATATATTCGAAATTAAAAATAACATATTTATTCTAAATAGCATTTATAATGATAAAAGATTATATAATTTATATTTTTATATTACATGACAAAGTATTAATATAATATAATGTATGTACTCATCTTAATGACTTGTTTTATATATTTTATTTTAAAATCTAAATCGCATCATATGATACTCATATATAATTATAAGAGATTCTATAATTTATTCTAAATCATATGAATATGAGTATATTGTATATCTATGATAATTAAAATATATAATTTATTTTAATCATATTATGGCATATAAAAAATTATTGTAAGGAACATAAATATATTAATTTGTCTTTTTAAATATATATTAATTTAATTTTTTAATAATTTTAGTAAGTCATTAAGACCTTTTACAAATAAAATCATGCTAATTAAGTAATTATTGAAAATATATAATAATATTTATATATTAAAAAAAGAAATAAATCTAGTAGATATATATATTAATATTATGTACAAAAAATAGCTTTTGAAATAAACTTTGTATCTTATATAAATAATATGTGATTATTATATACTCATAATTTATTTATATATTTATATATTTATTTTAAATTAAAAATTACTAAATTTATTTTTTCTTACTTAACAAGTTTCAACTTTCAAGGCTGATTTTTAAACTCTTAAGGTTGATTTTTATTACCTTTAGTATAAAATTACTAAAAAAAAATTAATTAAACAAAATCTAAATTAAATTAAATTTTATACTATCAAGGCAAACAACAATTTAATATATACAGGTTAGGTAGCCCACCGGTTAGATAACCAATCTACTTTTACTAATAATATTACCATGCTTCCATTTTCACTTTTACACATGTGGAAGCTTAACCATTTAAACCTAAAAATCTTTTTTCCTTATTTCCTTTCACATTTTCACTCTTTTGTTTCAAACTTTTAGCCGCAACAACCTTCTTTCCTCTTTCAACCATTAAGCCAGGCAACCATCATCACCTTTCATTTGCCCTTACCTCTTTTCTTAGGTAGCTACCACTCACCTTTGGCCTACAAATCGCAGTTGATCCATCGATTGATAGAGCCTTTATGTATTTTTCAGTTTCACCACGTTGTTTCTTGCCAAAACACTAAGGTAGTTGTTTACAAATTGTATATAATATTTATTGTTTGAATTTGTAGTTTTATTTTGGTCATAAAAATAGCCTACGGAATCAACTGTTAAGAATGGCCTGGTAGAACTTGGTTCATGTGACTTTTAATAACCAAATAGCACATCTACAGCTCTACAAAAGTTACAAACTGCAATTTAGTTGCTTATTCATTTTTTTAATACTTAATTATTCTTGTAATTGTAAATCCTTATATAATATGCATTTATTTTAATATATATGTTTTTGACCCATACATTTTTAATATATATGTTTTTGACTTATACATTTCTAATGTATGTTTTTAATATATTTTAAATTTGTAGATAGAATCTGATGATGTCAACACTATATTTCAATCAAATTCTCTTATTACGAATTTGAAAAAAAATGATTATATGGAGATAACAGAACAAGATAATGTTGAGATAGGAATAAATAAAGGAAATCATAAAAAAGAACAAGAAAACTAACTTCAGATGTTTGGAAAGCCTTCAAAGTGTTACTTAAAGAGGTAGTTAATGGTATTAAGATAGTAAAATGCAAGTATTGTGAAGAAGTTAAGAACTACGATTCTAGATATGTGAATGATAATCTTAAATGTCATATGAATAATTGTGTTAGGAGTAAACCTAGCAATCTGTATTTTCATGTCGTGTTTCGTATCATATTTGATACGTGTAATAACATGAATTATTAAAATACGAACATGACATGCATTATAAAACATGTTTAAATCTTAAACATGAACATAACATGTTTATTATTCATATTATATGTGGCACAACATGACTAATACATATATAAATAATTAATCCATTTAAACATAATATGAATAACACGAATGACACTGATTTACACGAATAACACTGTAAATACAAGCTAAACTTTAACTTCAGAGTATTCCAAATACAAAATACAAGTCAAACACGAATATATGCAATATATCATCAAACTTCGAACTTCAAACATCATATCCAATTCAACACATACCAACTTACTAACTTCAAAGCATTCAAAACACAACAACAATTTAAAAGCTATTTAATGAGTTAATGCAACTCAATAAAATTAACTTAAGATGAAGTAGAACATTTTACTAAAGAAAAACTTTCTTTGCTAAGATCCAAAATGATGACACCATCTATCATCTCATCTAAGTTCTCATTAGCAATTTCTCCAAATAACCAATATTTACAACAAATAATACCTTCACAATTTCTAGCTTAAGTGAGCTATGATAGATAAGAACCTTACCATCACTAGTAAAAGTAGATTTGGATGCTATTGGGGAAAAAAGAATGCTTAAGATATCTCACGCCATGGTAGCAAGCTTGAGATACCAAAACTGGTTTTGATTTCAAAATTGCAAAATATTCAATTTTTGTGTCCTATCAAGCCTTTGTTCTTCTAAATACAATTATAATTGAGATTTCCTTACAGTAACACCATTTTCAATGTCAAAAGTGTCAAACTCTTTATCAAAAAATTCAAATATATTAGAATTTCTAACAAAATATTACAAAAAATAATAAAATAATAAAAAATTAAACATTAAAATAAGCGAATTACCTTCTAGACATCCTTTTTATGTGAACTTATAGCTATTCTAGATCTTTATCAACATTGTAATCATTAGAATTATTAGAAACAACCAAGGATGAACTGCAAATAGGAGCCTTAATAGCATCAGCATATTCATCATAAAGAGAAAATAAATTATCTTTGACTGTTCTGAACTCTATTGAATTA